GACACCAGTACTAATGTTTGTATGGATACTGTCGATATTTGGATCGATCATGTTTGTCTACAATCAAGTACTTTCACACAAACATAAAAAACTACAGGTAACTGTGGCAATCACCTCACAACCAAAGCAATCACTGAGAGGGTTTTTTGTGCAGCAGGCAAACTCTGCTATCAAAATAAAACAGGAAATAACTAACTAAACACTAACACTCACAAACCTGACATACAGAGATGTGAGGCTAAAGGTTTGGAAAATAACATAGGCGACTACACAAAGTAAACCGAACCCAGAATACTAATGTCAGCTTGAACTGAAATAAAGACCTCTAGATATAAATGTACATGAAAGTCAAATACAAACAATAAACTAACTAAGAAACAAATACATGTCCATGAAAAGTCAAAGCTCTTTTGCCTCAGGCCATGAAAATGAAATATACTTTTATTTAATCACACAGACAAAAGCAAAAGGTAGAATGTCTGAAGGTCTCAAATAACTGAATAAAAAGCACAAGTTGTTTAAAGAGTCCTCTCCCTGCTTTGGGTTGCGAAAAGAGGCACAAACAAGAGAAAGGAAGAAAGCCTGCAGTGCTTCATCCATTTGTCAGATTGTTTGTTTGTCCCCGGCATATCTCCTTCTCTTTTATGGGATTTTATTTTATGTTTTTTTTTCTTTTTTCATTTTGGCCTTGGTTTATTCTAAGACTTTTGACTAAATGCCTTTCATTGACTAAACTCACCAAAGAGTCCTATTTTTGTGTCCTCTCTACAGCAGTCCATCAGACATATCTGACATATACTGTGATTTATTAAGCAGATTTCCCCCTTTCGGATTTTTCCAGTGCAACAAAACATAAAATAAGGATAAAAAAAAATCAGCAAACTTAGAAAAAATTGTGGTTTCTCACACGCCATCTGAAATGTCTGTTCTCCTCTGCCTCCACCTACAGCTCTTCTTACAGGCTCTTATTCCTCTGCCTCCATTTCCATTCAATGCTTTTAACAACTTTCTGATCACTCTTGCTGCCTGTGAATTCATAATTGACTTATATTGGTTAAATTAAAGCAATAGCAACGAGCGTGACCAATTGCCAGTTGTCCCGTTTAGGAAATATCATTGTAATTGTTACGCTTAAGCCTCCATTCATTATTATTATTATGAATCACAGGTGTATCATGTTGGTCTGTGAGAATGTGTTTAGGATTTTGAAGAAAATTTAAAAAACAATCTGCAAATTGTTTGTAGAGGCATGTGGGGATATCGATCAGGGGTCATGCTGTGAGTTATGTCTTTATGTGGCATTTGGCTCTTCAGGTTTCTACCATGCCAACTCCAGACAGCACTACGTGACAAATTTCAAGTGGATGACATTTGTGTTCAGACCAACAAAACAGGAAAAATTCAGTCTTAGTCAATCACACAAATATTTCTTATTCTGAAGTAAAAGTTATCTGTGGAGGCTGTGGTTCAGGTGGTAGAGTGACCCTTGAAGTGACCTTGGACAAGATAATAAACTCTGGGTTGCTCCTGGCACATACATTTGTGTGTGTTGACTGTTATTTAAAAAGTGTTTGGGTATAGATAAAATCACTATATGAATGTGTGTGTGTGTGTGTGTGTTAATGGGTGAATGAGACTTCATTGTCACCACTCTTAACGCAGTCTCAAATCAGTGCCACATTTCCCATCCACATTAGCCTCACCATTTGTAAAACAGTTTGCATAATGAAAACGTATGATGTATTTTCTACTTTCAATGTAACGCTTTGCAATTTAATTTCATAGTTTAAACTAAAAATGTAAATTTTGGAACACATCAGACGTTCACACTAGTCTCTCAGGCAGAGAGATAATTGCTGTCTCGTACGTATCCCTCCCATTCCCGTAATGAGCAGCGAGAGCCAACGCATACAAACCGACGGTGTTCCTTAAAGGGGAGGTTACTGAGTATTCACATAACTTGACGCATGACGCAACACGCCTCCTTACACAACAGTAGCTGCCTGGCGCATTACAGATTTTCATTTTACCTAAGCTGATCTCCGCACACACCCATTGTTTCAGGAAATGTTTGGAAACCATCAATCACTTCTAGGAATATCATTTTTTGAAATAAACAACAGAGTTGTTTGCCGAACGACTTGAACATCTTGTTTCACTGGTACAACTGTTTCTGTGGAAAAACTATCTTGTATTTGGCAACACACAGAAAATTGAATTCCTTCGTACACCAGTTAATTTGCAGAAAGGTGAATTTTAAACAAAAAGTCACACCACAGCAAATTCGTGATAAAATATACTACACGGCATTATAAAGGCAGCAAACATCTGACACTAAAATCCTCGATTCAACAATAAAACTCACATATCACGGAGATGGAGGTCAATAAAATGTAACTACTGTGAGATTCATTAACTACTCTGAGTTGTTGGGTCTAAGATATAACATCTGTGCTGTGGTAATGTTTACTTTTGCCATCTGCGGTGCATCAAAAGTGTTTCATGATACAAAATCTGTTTTAATGAGATGAAATCGAGAAAAGTTTTTCCCAGAATAATGAGATTCATAAAGTTGTCTTAGGACACTGAGTGCATGGTATAGAGAGCCAGAGTTAGTTCTTTAGCAACAAAGCTCCGAAAGCTGACCAAGTTATGTAAGTAAACACTAAAACAGTATATATGCTCCTGATGCAAAACTGCTTCAAACACTCTCAAATGTATTTTCACAACAATTCACTTGTAGGCAAAAACTCAACAAGTGTTGCTAATGTGGTGATGGAAGACGGATGGTTGTTTGCGAACAATCTAAGGTGCAGAGGAGGAAGAGGAGGAGGAAGACAAGAGCAAAACAAAGGACAGTACTTCCAGATGTTCTTCTTCATTGAATGATAATGAGGCATGCAGGATAAAGAGCACAACCCTACTTCAGCATAATCAGGTTGCCCTGTGTTGTACTGAAACATCTGTGTACATTGCTTTTTATAAACTATATAGGGCATGTGGTGGTTACTTACTGCTTTTACTGCACTTACATTTGTTGCTTTCTTTGTGTAGGATTGAATGAGTGCCACTTGTGTAAGGAAGGTCTGAATTTTTAAGCATTTATTAGCCCCACACGTGGGAAATTTGTTGGGTGGACAGTGCGAAGTTACAAGCACTAAAAATTAAGGAAAACAGTGGAATAGAATAAGATAAAAAGAATAACATACTATGTAAAATAAAATGTACATACTATGTTTTGTTAGAAAAATTACACTTAGTGGTATTGCACATATGTGGATGTGTGTGTCTGTCTGTGCATGTGTGGTCATGTGCGAAGAAGATTTATATATGAAATAGTTTTTGGTGCTGATCTGCACTGAGTAAGTGAAAAAAAGATGTGTTATGAAGTTTCGAACTGGGTTAATGTGAGTTAGATTTGCATGGTGATAGTTCTGTGTAAGATATTGTTCCATCATTTTAATGGAGACCACAGGAACTTCTTCCCATCAGATATACTCTTGGAAGTTTTGATCTTATCATATATTTTGTTATTGTTGCTAGTGGTAACATTGTTTAAATATAGGAACCAGACTTACTGAGTTTTTGTCTGAGAAGTTTCAGAACAAAAGAATGTGAAAAGCAACATATTATTTCTGCTTATAACAGTACCTGCCCACACGTCTTTCCATTTGATCTATGCCCTTCAATCAAATCCCTCTGGTCACATACCGCCGTGACCAAACATAACTTTTGAAATCATTCTATAAATAGATGTTCACGTGATGCAAGGATCACTCAGAAGAGGGGGCCTTCGATGCTATCAAGTGTGGGCATACATACACCAATACTGTTTACAAGTCGTTTAATGAGAGAAATTTGGATTATAAGTGCCAGGATGTTCCAAGCATCTTTGAAAATGTGTGTTTTTTTTGTTTTGTTTCATTTGTTTCTTTTTTTTTTATTTCCTTCCTTTTGTTTATTTCCTTTTGTTTATTTCCTTGTTTGAGTTGTTTATTATTGAGGTATTGGATAAAATTTGGAACCTGCCTGAAGTGAATTTTATACACTATTGTACCTTGTATAAAAATCACAATCTGCAAAGTATCAACAAACGGCTGAGAAATTGCGTTCCTATTGTTTGGTTCATATCTGAAACATCTCTGTACTGTAGAAATAGGCGGATGAATCCAAATATTGATAGCATCGATTAAAACGCTGGTTTTGGTAACAGATTAATACTAGGATTGATATGTTGTCTCTATCCTCTAAGTCAGGGGTGTCCAACTCCAGGCCTCAAGGCCCAGTGTCCTGCAGGTTTTAGATATCACCCTGGGTCAGCTCACCTAAATCAAATGATTAGTTCATTACCAGGCCTCAGGAGAACTTCAAGACATATTGAAGAGGTAATTTAGCCATTTAAAGAAGTTGTGTTGGATCAAGGACACACCTAAAACCTGCATTACACTGGCCCTTGAGGCCTGGAGTTGGACACCCCTGCTCTAAGTTCAGTGTGTAGCTCACTGAATTGTGTTTATTGCATTATTTTATGCAAATGAAAAAAATCCTCCTCCTCAAACATGCACCATAAAAAATGTCCTTTTTGAAAAAACCTTTTTGTGTTGACTGTCACATGTATTATATCTATAGCCTATAGCACATTTAAACAACGTTTAAATTCAAGTTTCAAAACACATGAAAAGCTGAATGGTGTCCTTTGTTGTGTTAAGTATTGTGGAAAGTAAAAAATCGTAGTGATTTAGCGGTCATTAAATTCTGTTATGAATTTGGAAACTGATGATGATTCATCATAACACACTGCCCTACCCAATATCGGCTGTCTTAAAAGTAACAGTATCAGTATTGATATTGGTATCTTTAATACTGGCCCTGTATTCACTTTGTATCACTTCGATACCAAATTTTGTAGTACCTCAGCACTGTTGTTCTGTAATTTTTTGGAGAAAAGTGATATCACCGCGACATCTCTGCAGCCAATCGGCGCCCTTCTTTCTCTCTGACGTCACCACACTACCAGGTCCAGGAAGCTGGAAGTTTCACTAGACTTTTTTTTTTTGCACAACTCTGTTTTTAAAGACGAGTTTAACTTACGAATTTAAGACAAGTTAGCACTGTTGTGTGTTTGTTATTTAAGGGAGCTGTGTTTGTATTTAATTTCTCTGTAAGTCTGTAGAGTAGGAGGACGGGAAGGACGTAAATTCGCCACACATCCCTGACTAAAGATGTCAACCTCGAACCCTCTGGCTAATTACAGCACGGAACTCCACGATGACCAAGCAGATAAAGTGAGTACTGGCGTTCAACACTCCGCTAGTTATGTTTTGGTAGCTATCTCCAGTATGGTGACGTGACATTTGAACTTGATACGTCTCAGGGAGGACGTGAAACCGGGGTCAAACAGGTCGCTAGGCTGTTAGCATGTATTGTTTGCGTGTTATTACTTCTTCCTCTTTGGCCAAAAAATCTGCCGTTAACTTAATTAACCCCACTTCATTGCTCACACTAGGGGAGGTATGAGCAATGCATTGGGTAACAGGATTCAATAAAGCTTATTACGCACTCTATAGAGAAGGTAATGTCATATCAGGTTTCGTCAATGCAGTGTGTGTGTGTGTGTGTGTGTGTGTGTGTGTCCCTTTCTTACTCTCTGTATGGGGAAATCGTTAACGCCCTTTTCTTGGAAGAAACGGTAAAGTGTGGAAAACTTGTTCAGGGAAGTAAAAGCACAGTAATGTTAAAAACTTTAGTAGTTCCTGTCATTTGTGTCCCATTAAGCTCAGTGGGGATATACTTATAGCACCGTCCCATATCATCAATAAACCTGGGTTTTAACTGCTACGACTTGAATTTTATGTTTTTGATGGTTCATTTATAACAGGAAAAAGCCATCATTGCTGCAGAAAGCTCCAGATTTTATTTAAGAAATTTGCAGTGTGCCCAAAACAAAAGAAAACACTTAATAACAATAAAACAAACCCAGGGTGACACAGTGGAAAAGCGATTAGCACTGTTGCACCACAGCAAGAACACCCTGGGTCTGAGTCCCCCATCTGACTGGAGCCTTGTTGCTTGGATTCTGCATGTGTGTGTGGGTTCTCTTCAGATACCTCGGCTTGGCTCCAGCCCCCTGCAAACCTGATTTGGATAAGTGTAAGAAAATGGATTAATGGGAAAATAAAATCATCCACAATAGGAAGGTTACTTAATGACGTGGTATTTACAGCTTTCCCAAGGGATTGTCACAGCGGATGTGTGCAGAAGTTTGATTTGGTGCAGTTTTTATGCTGCGATCCTTCCTGATGCAACCCTTCTATTTATTCAGGCTTGGGACAGGTTACTTAATGACATGACACCATACAATACAAGTTTACAGTATTATTATATTGTCATTATACATAATATTTTCAAAAATATTTAAATTTGTAAAAGAAAATTCATTGCTTGAATTTTTGTTTTTATCATTATTGACACAGGCTTCAAGGCCAGCCCCTTAATCCGAACGCGTTCTGTTTGATAAGTTAGTGACATGCTTTGGTGAAGGGACTGTGTTATGCTGTTAACACGGTAGAGTCTTCTGCACAACTTGTCCTTTTCACGATGCCCAGAGGCTCACAGTTAAAACACACGTCATCATTCGTGAAAACACAGGGATGATTAGCAACCCTAGTACAAACACTTCCTGTGACTGCTTCAAATTAAAAGCCTGCAAGTCACAGGACTGTAACATTTACATGATAGAGCCTTCTTTCTAGGCTAGCCCTTGCATACTAATAGATATAATCTGTACATTGCCTACTAGACTGTATGCGAAAGATGGGTGCTTAGTGATCAGCTTATGTAAGCAAGTTAAACTGTATGGGTGAAAATGCACATGCCTGATAATTACTATTAAATAATAGCGTAATAAAACTTGAATTTACTGCCATTTCAGACAGTGTAATTCCTTTTGTATTCCATTTTGAACAATCTTTTCATTGCTTTTTCATTTCATTACCTACGGTTTGACTTCTTATTCAGTGTTTCTGGTGGTAATCTTATGCAATTTGTCAAAATAGCCAAAACGAAATTACAGCAGTATTGCCCTTGGACCTTTTGAGCTGATTCTTTTTGATTAATGGCTGAATGGAACTCATTTGGCCTTTTGTTCTGTTGTTTTGCTTTTTTCTCCTATTGTTGCACTCCAGTCATTGCTGTCATTTAAACGGGGAATTGTATGAATTGATGATTTTGCTTGTTCATTGACGCTACCATTCATCTACGAAACCTTTAACAGCTTCTCTTGCTGTGAGGCTGTTTACTCACACTCAGCTTATAATTACAAAACGTGAATTGGTCTGTCAGATACTCCTGCTGAGGGGAACATTTAAAGAATCAGACCTCTTCTCTTTCTAAATTAAATTTTAAATGAATGAATGAAGTATAAATTCCCATCCCTTTAGACTTAATAATCCCTTAATAACAAAGTAAAAACCTGCTTTTAGAAATTATAGCAAGAAACTTACAATAAAGCTTTGTAGTAGCCCCCTATAGTGTCCAGCTGGTGTGTGTGTGTGTGTGTGTGTGTGTGTGTGTGTGTGTGTGTGTGTGTGTGTAATTTCAGGCTTTGGTAACATACTGTACAGTGTTTGTTTTTTCTTCTGAAGCATAAGCTTAGCATAGACTGTCACTTTCCACAAAAGAAAACGGTACAAGGCGCCTGTGAAGAACACATACAGTTATATTGTGGAGGACGGGACAGTCACGATCATGGTTCAGAACTGTTCTAGGAGCAGATAATGAGTCCTGATAGCTCGTGACTCGTATGAGATGTGTAGCTCTCCTCTTGAGAAGGATAGGAAGCGCTGTCTACAAGAGGTTAAATGCTGCTGTAGCCCGGCCCAGCTGTCAAAGGGGAGGTAGTAGGATAGCAGGACTCCCAATGAGCAAGTTGCTGCTGCAGGGCGCCATAAACAGCCATTCACGCTCACATTCATCCCTACTGCCCGTTTAGAATCACTGGTTAACCTAACACATATGCCTTTTTTCACTTTCAAAGTAAGTAAAGACAATTTTCAAGATAATTTGCGCGTATTGAGGAGTTTAAAGAAGCGTCGATTTTATTATTCTAATAGTGTAGTCTTCCTGTGGTGTAGCAGTTGGAGAGAAAATTAAAGTTGACAGAGAAAATGGTTGATAAGATAAAGATTCTTGCATCTATCAAGATGATAGCGCTCCTCCTGGGTCCTAATCCAGTCAGTGTCAACAGTTCATACAGCTCCCTCATTCACAAGGGGTCGCCACAGCAGGCAGCTCCACGTATCTGATCTGGCAGATTTTTGCACCAGCTGCCCTTCCTGAGGCAACACCCCAGACATGGGAAAGCTCTGAATTACACCTGCTATTGATCCTCTCTTGAGGTCAATAAAGAGAGTTAAGGTTAGTGAAAGGCTAATGAAATACTCTCAATAGCAATTGCAAATAAGCGGTCAAAGAGGGTACCTCTGCCTCTACCAACGCTGAACAGGTTGGAATAGAGACTGGAGCTTTGGATAATGTTTCGCCCCTTGTCAAATCCCTTCAAAGTATAGAATAAATATCTCCATTTTACTCTATCAAAAGCTGTTTCCACGCTCCAGCAAAACTAATACCTGTGGGCCTGAAGAGTCCGAGAGGAGATGGATAATACTGAGAAAGACCCTCACACTGAAAAAAGAAAATCTATTTTTAACAAAAGTGTCCTTTTTTTTTTTTTTTTTTTTAAATTAGGTATTGGAGAGATCTGGGTTACATGCAGTACATGCATTATACTTTATTAATAAGAGAAAATGCCATATTCATTGAGAAATTTGCTCTTTTAACTCACTGGAACAGAGACGCGTTATATAAGCCATGTGAAGAATCTGCAGGTGTATTTTTATGTACTATGTACTTATGTAATATCACTGTGTGTGTGTGTGTCTGTGTGTGGTATCAGCCTATTTTCCTGCCGAATCTTAGTCTCTTCCTTTCAGAAAGTGTAATTTCCACTTTCATAGTACTGATGTACAAGGACTACAACATTCAATCCATTGTGTTCCCTAGATACACGGTCCAACCCGAGGACCACGGTGACCTAGTACCAGAGTTGAGTTGTTGAAATGGGCTTATTTTCATTAATTTCTGTTATAGCTGTTTTTTCTCTCAAATCTTGAACAATACGTGAAATTTTTTGTTACCTTCTTGCTTTAGCCTTGCTCCAGACTGTTAAGTTTGCCTACAAAATCTTGTAAGGATTTTCAGAATAATTTTAATTTCTTTCTTTGTTGGGACGTCTTAGGTGGGGTGTCAAACATAAGACCTGGGGGGCAGAATTGGCCTGGTAAAGACTCCAGTGCGGCCCACTAGATGGTTTTGGAAAATTTGAAGGATTTTGGACTTTTAGCTGTTCTCATAATTTTCACTGTTTGTCCCACCCATAAAGACCTCCCCCGTGGACATTCATGCTACACGGAAGTAATAAAGTAATAGTAGAAACTGTTAAATGACAGGAAAGTTCCAGTTCTTTTAGAAGTCTTTTTTTTTTTAATATGTCCACAGTAAAATAAATGAATACAACAGGACATTTTATGTGAATTAACAAAAACATTCTGCATTATAACTACAGGACAGTGTGGGCAAATTTCTTCCACTTTAAGCCCAGTATTAGTTCTGGTGACAGATTTCTTTCATTTAATGCAGCAGCAGTACTTAATCACGTAGAGAAACTGAGACATGTTGAAATTACACTTCTTTTTCTTATATTTTCCCATCTCATGGATTAAGTGAGTGTAAAGTTAAACTACACACTGACAGAAGGGGCCTTTCACTGGTCTGGCTCACTTCCATGCCCTCAGGTGTAGGATACCACAGTATGGACACAAGTTTGGTGCAAAAAGTAACATCTTCTATACAAAATGTATAGAAGTGAAGAACAAAGAGTCTAACAGTCACGTATTGAAGCAGCTGGAGCACACCTTGTGTTGGGAGTTTTAAATATCAAGCTACACAATGTCAACGTCTTCAGTTACCAGTTGGGGAAACTAGAAGAAGTCATTTGGCATTTATTTTTAACTTTAACATGATGATGCTGTTTACTCTGTGTTTCTATTTGAGTTTGTGTGGTTTTTTTTGGGGGGTTTTTTTGGGTTTTTTTTCAACACTTGAAAGGAAGCTACATGCTATTAAGGAATTATCCTTTTGAACCCTGCCAAGGAAGACTGTAATGCATGTTATATTTTCTGATGCAGACTAATCTAGTACTTAGGAAATACTAACTTTGTTAATTAATTACTTATTTATTTATCTAGGTGGACAAATACCTTCACAACCTCCAGCTGTCAGATAAGACTTTGATGGACGTGTCACTACGATTTCGTCGAGAGATGGACAAAGGCCTGTGTAGAGACACCAACCCCACCGCTGCTGTCAAGATGCTGCCCACATTTGTGCGCTCCACTCCTGACGGAACAGGTAATACCCGTTTCACGTACAGGATAATGTTCATTAAGGCTGGGCTATATCATACCATTCACGGTAATACCGGTGTAATTTTGGGCAACGAGAGGAAAATGAAATATCGGGATAGAATATGAGTAAAACGCGCATGCGCAGTGCCTTTGTTTACATACGCACATGGCGGCGACACAGAATGAGAAGGCAAAAGTGGACCGTTGAATGAAACGGATGAACCAGAATTGGTTTGTAAAAATGCTGCAACTTCAGTGGTGTGGAACTGGTTTAGCTTTCGTCCGTCAAATACACAACAAAGCACTATTTTCGGTAGCGCATGCTAGCGGGCCGTCGTTATTACCGTGTTTTTTGGAAAATACGGCGCACTTAAAATCAACCCTTTGATTTTTCTGAAAATCAACAGTGCCCCTTATAATCCCGTGTGCCTTATGTATGAATTCTGGTTGTGTTTACTGACCTCGAAACTATTTTATGTACACGGCGCTCGAAAATCTGTCAAATGTTTTAGTGCGACTTTGCTAAGCTATGAAGCCGCACCGCTTGATGGGTTGTTGGAGCATTACGGCTATCGTAGGCAGGAGCCTCGCGGAGTGATGCGTACTGTGCTTCAACATAATATTACCGTATTTTGTGTATAACCTCTTTTTAAGTTTTGTGGATATTATACATGGTTATGCTGAGGATATGTCGGCCAGTTTCCACTGGAAATGCCTTTTGGTTAAACTGTCAGCAAGAAATTTGCATTTGCACTGTTAAATTTTTATATAACTTTAATGCACATAAAAAACAGCTGCTTGTTTAAGTGAAAATACATTGATGGGGTTTTTTGCACTAATAAAGTTGTGGAGTTGTAAAGTGTTTTGTCTAGTGTCAATTATATCGTCAGTTATATCGTTATCGCAAATTTTCAAATGTATATCGTGATAAATACTTTTGGTCATATCGCCCTGCTCTACTGTTCATATGAGACTGTAAAGAGTTGGTGTAAATGACGTGTCCAGTGAAAATGTGTTCCTTGAAAAAAGTGGATTTTGTCTTGAGGCAAGATGTTCTCATCTCAAACCAAAAACTATTTAGATAATTCATTCACACATAACATGTTCAAATTTATCCTATATATCCTCTTTACCATGAGAGTATCTACTACAAGGGTGAGGAGTGAGGAGTATATATATATATATATATATATATATATATATATATATATATAAAAATAAATATAATATTGTGAGTGTTGTGCTGTATGTAACTCTGGGTTTATTCTTTTGTTGAAAAGAACAAGGACAATTCCTGGCCCTCGACCTTGGTGGATCAAACTTCCGAGTGCTTCTGGTCAAAGTCATGGGTAATGGCGAGCAAAAAGTGGAGATGGAAAGTCAGATTTACGACATTCCTGAACACATCATGAGAGGCAGCGGGTCTGAGGTAAGACGCGTTCCACATTATGGAAGGCTAATTTATGTTTTTTCTTTTACCGTGTGCTTTGCTATCGCTGAGGTTTACGAGCCATGTACGAAGAACGAAGCACGCACATTGACAGGAGAAATTGGCCTCATCAACCCAAAAATGACAATTAAATTATCATTAGTTTATTTGAAGTACATCTATACAGGCAAAAAGAAAAGACTGTCTTTTAGTTCTAATGAAATAAACTCTGATCCCTACAGTGTGCTAGAATGAGGTAAATACAACCTCAGATGAACAATTACACATGAGATTTTATACTGTGTCATTATTTATGCTCAAAGCCAAAATGCAGAAGCAGCATGTGCAAAACTACACACTCTGCATCATTCAGTAACTTATAGGACCACCAATTAATAACTTAAAATAATACTTTTCAGTCTCTCAAATTATTGTGGAGGAATTTAGGCCCACTCTTTGCAGGCGTTCATTTCTTAACCGCTCTCTTAAGGTTGAGGACTGGACTTTGACTGGGACACCTTGATTCTTTTCTCTTTCAGCTGTTCTCTTGTAGACATGCTGCTGTGTTTGGGATCACTGTTCTGTTGCAGAACCCAACCGTGACCAAGCTCTAGTAGTTAACAGATGACCTTATAGTTGACTTTAGAAAACTTTTGGATACAGAGGAGTTCATGGTTGATGCAATGGCCTTGACTTTGCAACTCTGCCAAATTAATGTTTGCTCACATGTTCTTTTCAGAGAGATGTTTCTCCTGGCAACCTTTCCAAGCAAGCCATATTTGTTCAGTCTTTTTCGAATAGTGCTGTCATGACCTTTAACATTGAACATGCTCACCGAATACTTTTGCAAGTTCCCCCACTTAAAATGGCTAAATACTTTTTTGCCCCACTGTATATCACCACTAGGGATGGGTATTGAAAACTGGTTCTTGTTGAGAACTGGTTCCCACTGTTTCAATTCCTTGGAATTGTTTGCCATTTTTGCAAATGATTCACTTATCGATTCCAGTCGCCCCGGATGACGTCACCACGTTGCGGAGCGTCATTTACCTGGCAGGAAACGCGGCGCCTAACGCTCAAAAGTTTGATTATACTTTACGAGAACGGCTGACAACAGGGCAACTTGCAATACTTGCAAAGTAGATATTTCATTTAAGGGAGGAAACACTACGAATATGCAAAAGCATTTGCTCACAAAACACGCGATGACCTTAAATGAATGTCGTGTTTTTAATTCCGCTCGACTCGTGAATCTCAACCCAACAGCAGCGGTAACGTTTGCACGTCCTCTCCCGTTAATGCGGCAGGTAAATAATCAACTAACAGTGCATATTATGTTTGCGCGATCTGCCTTATTACAAAACCTGCCATTACTGTGCATTTAGGTGACCATGATGAGAGAGACAGACAGAGTCTGGCTGGCTCAGATGCTGGCAGTTCTCACTGCAGTCTACCGGTAGCGTCTCCTTTCAGGCCAGGATAGACGAATGTCACCGAGCAGTAAGTTTGTGGTCAAAGGCTTGCACCCATTTGCCACAGCAGAAAAAAACAAAAACAACGCTTGGACACTGCTAGCACGGGGCGCCTACACAAACGCAAAGCAGGAGATCAAGCATAGCTGAATATGTTTCCAAACCAACTTCATTCTAAGCCAAAGCCATTTTTTCTTGTAAAACAAAGGGGTGCCTAGCAAAAAAGTTTGGGAACCACTGATGTAGCTCAACATGAAAACCAAAACAACACACTAATTAACAACCTCAGTGTCGCTCTTTTAAGACTGTTGAACTGAACTCAGTGCATGAAAGAGATCAAATGCTTGGTTTATAAATTTTAATAATATTGCAATAACAGTTAGGCATGTATAATTATCCTTTGTTTGTTTTAGAGTGACAAAAAAATCCTCGCGTTTTATTTTAATGTTGTGTAATTTTGCTTTGCATTTAACATCATACTACTGAGCATTAAAGGAGAGCATTACTGCAAACCAATCAAATGTGCTTATTTAATTGTTTCTCCATAAAAGCAGAAGTTTTGAGAATTTTCTGCTGTGGAGGAACCAGGTGTGTGTTAACACAGGGCCACAATCTTCCCAGGAGTGGGTTTCCTAGCAGATTCATGCCACTGTTTATTAAGAGCTACATGCCAGACTCTGCAGGGCTCATTTAGCATGTTAAATGTTAAAGTTTGTGTCAGTACAGTTAGAAAAAGACTGAACAAGTATGACTTCTTTGGAAAGATTATCAGTAGAAAAGCTCTTCTGTTTAAAACAAACATGGAGCAATAAAACATATTTACTCATGTGTGTTCGCACAAACTGTAGATAAATCATAAATAAACCTGGTGTTTATAAATATACTTGTACCTGGATTTGTTTGTACTTTATGATTACATTTAAAAGTGCCTCTAACTATGTGTACAAACAAATGAATGGATGTGTTTTTCTTTAGGAAATTTGAACAAAAGTCTTTAAAATGATGCAGACTGCAGGCAACAAACACAAAGCTGTTGTATTAGAATGAGTTTAACATGGTTGCAAGAGCAAAATTGGATGTTGCTCACTTGTCAAAATCTCACAGTGGTTTTGCGTGTTAAGCCATTTTTTGTGCAGATTAAGAACTTTTCCATGCAGGTATTTGTAAATGCGTAGCAATGTCCTTTGGTCCGATGAAAACAAAAAAGGAGAAGTTCTGCCATAATACACAGTGCCACGTTTGGCAAAAACCAGACACATCAGCAATAACACCATTATACCACCGTCAAGCATTGGGCTTGATGTGGGCTTGTTTTGCAGCAACAGGACCTGGGCACTTTCCAGTCATTGAGTTAGCCATGAACTCCTCCGTATACCAAAGTATTCAAGAGTCAAAAGTGAGGCCATCTGTCTGACAGCTAAAGCTCGGCTGAAACTTGCAGCAGGACAATGATCCCACAAACAGCTGGAAATTTCCAACAAAATGCCTGAAAAAGAGTCAAGGTTTTGAAATGGACCAAACTGTAGTCTTGAGCTGTGCATAAAGGAATGCCAATGTAAAGTAGAGTGGGACGAAATTCCTCCACAAAAATGTTGATAAAGTCACACAGGAAACTATTACTTCAGCTTATTGCTCCTACTTGTGCTTCTACAAGCTACTTAATTCAAGGTGTTGAACTGTAAAGTCCTTTGAAAGCTTTCTTTATTGCATGCCTGAGTTGAGATGTTGTTTACAATTGCCATAGCAAAGATGTGATGAAGTGATGTATAGTGATGTTAGTAGGATTTAAACGGCTTCAGGACTCGTAATAATGTATCACATGGTTCGTTACACCAGCAGCATTGCTAGTTGGATGAACAATGCACACATGTATGGAAAATTAAAGATGCAATTTTTTATCTTGCAGTTAATAAGAAAATTGACTTTTCTTCTCTTGTAGTTTTTTGACCACATAGCTGCTTGTCTGGCTAACTATCTGGACAAGATGGGCATGAAGGACAAAAAGCTTCCTCTGGGCTTCACCTTCTCGTTTCCCTGCCAGCAGACTAAGTTGGATGAGGTGAGTGATTTAAAAGTTCTGCCCTCAAATCACAGATTTGGATGGATTTCAATAAAGATTCAATTCAGTTAATTTCTTTCTTGTATTTCTGTTTAAGTAGAACTCTTTTTTTTTCTGTGTTTAGATATATAAAGAGTTGAAATTGTTTAAAATAAATTAATGATAAAATAACACAATTACTGTTACCATTTCAAGTTTGGCATTTTAGTTGTTTCTGAATGAGTCAGATTTTTGTTTTTGACCTCTTCAGAAGTTCAAACTGCTACCATACTTTATATCTAAAGTATGGTAGCAGATATATTAATGGATTAATGGATTGCATTTATTAGAGATGGACCGATCCAATATTACGTATCGTATCGGTCCGATACTGACGTAAATTACTGGATCGGATATCGGAGAGAAATAAAAAATGTAATCGATCCATTAAATATCAAAAAAGCACCTCACAAAACTTGCAACACGGCGTAACTCGGCTCATAACCGTAGCACATCTGAGCAGTGTGGTCACGTGATAGAGCGGCTGTGTGTATTTGTAGCCTCGCTACCAAACCAGCATTTCATCTCCGAGGAAGTTATCCCACAGAGAAGTAAAGCAAGTGTGTAAGTTCATCTCTGAATGTTTGTAAAGCATTCCCACGTTAAGCTAAACAACCGATATATGGAGCGAGTGCCTCTTCTTGCTGCTACTTCAATCGTGAAACTGATTAATGATCAGCTGATCGGCTTTTCTGTCGGAGTCTGTCTCTCTTGTTTGTTTTTGGCCCACTTCGCTCCAGAAAGAGGAAACCAGTGGCTGAACAACAGCAGCACGCTTAACCTTGATAAGCTGTTGTTAGAATTCATTTAATATTACTTTCTACACCAGGATCTTTTTCTATGTAGCTGACTGCTGGTAACTGTGCAGGGGCGGATCTAGCAAAGTGTAGCCAGGGGGGCCGACAGGCCATGAACAGGGAAAAGGGGGCACAGAAACATACTTTTCTTTCTTATTCTCATTTAAAATGTCTAGCTTTTAATAAATAATTATCTGAATCTTACACCCAAAGTTTTAATTTGATGTAAAATATATAGAAGTCCATTATTGTATATAGTAACTGTTAAGTCTAATATACCCTAGTAAGCTATAGTACTTTTTCCTTTGGGAAGGTACCACCTGTGCAGTCTGCAATTCTGTTGAAGAAAGATGTTGAATCTATTTAATTATTCTTGAAAAATAATTGATTTCTGTGCATTTTTTTTTTCACACTGCATCAAATTAAAGTTGATTACGTCGATTAAGCATCATGAGGTGGGTTCCCCTTTTTTTTTTTTTTTTTTTTTTTTTGCTGGGAGTTTTAAAACCCTATTGGTTAGGTTGCTTAATATTTCTGCTAAGTACTCTTTAAAATACCAGAATAGGGAGGATGGTGTAGGTTTAAGTTTATTAGATTGGTCAGTTTTGCTGAACTATGAAATATTTTGGGTGCAGTGTATTTTTTGCATACACGTATAACAGAATAGCTTTAGTGTTTTTGTTTTGTTTTTTTTAACTTGAGTATTAACTTATACAAAAAGCAGCAAGATATAAAAAAAAAAGTTTTAAATGATTAAAAAACACACTATATCGGATTCATATCGGTATCGGCAGATATCCAAATTTATGATATCGGTATCGGACATAAAAAAGTGGTATCGTGCCAAATCTAGCATTTATATAGCGCTTTTCTAGGCACCCAAAGCGCTTTACAATTCCACTATTCATTCACTCTCACATTCACACACTGGTGGAGGCAAGCTACAGTTTTAGCCACACCTGGGGCAGACTGACAGAAGCGAGGCTGCCATATTGCGCCATCGGCCCCTCTGGCCACAACGACCAGAGAGCAGGGGGATCGAACCGGCAACCTTCCGGTTACAGAACTTCCCAATCCCCTGAGCCACGGTCACCCCTAGATATCTCCTTTAAAGTGTTGCCTTTCCAGATCTGTGGCTCCTATCTGTAGCAGGGAGATATCTGGTTTTTAGAAACGTCTTGTCTGTACGCTTGGTTGGTCATCTGATAACCTTTCTTGTCTGGACGAAGAAGGGGATGCGGAGAGCAGCATTGCTCTGCTGTTGCATGAACTGGGCCTTTATTTTTTGTTCTTTCAGGGTATTGAAAATAGCGTGAAGTTTCTCTAATGGTCCTCTGCTGTCAGCTTTTACTTGCAGCAGTCAGTGAGGGCTTCATCACACTGCTGTTTTTCTTGGGTTATTACGTTGGCATTCTTTCTAACTCTTCTTTTCCTGTGCAAAAAGTGATGCGGTCCAGTCTGTGAGTATCTGGACACTTGCTCTTTGTGTTCTTGTTGATTTATTTCTTTATTTTACTACATTAAAGTGCCAAGTCTCAGTTTGTGTAAGTAAGAGAACAGCTGTGTGATATATGTAACAGTTTTAACACAACACATTTGCCATTATTATGACAGCTCACTTCACTCAATAAGTTGCAAACATCTTCAACATTTACTGATATTGGAGTTTCCATCCTTGTTTCTAAATTGAGCAGCAAGTGCTGTAATTTAAAGCAATCATGCTAAAAAGCCCTTTGTTTGCTCTGGCCACATGTTTTTAATGCTTAATTGTATAATATTTAAAGAATCTAGCTGATTCTTAGCACGCACGATGCTTTTGTGTCATTGTGCATTTTACCTGTTGCTTCCATCAGCAGTGAAATATTCAATAAATGACAATATCACAGTTCTAATTTGACATACAGCCAACCTCCTACGCTTTTCCAAAACCACTTCTATACTTAAAATAATGGTTTGGGTTATGAGACTTTTTTTCCCCTTCAATTCAGTTTTTTCTCTTTCCATCTTTTTAAAGGAAGCTCATTTTAATTCATCAGTAGAAATTCGGTTTATGGAGGGTGGATGTTTTTGTAAATTGGCCCTAAGTGTACATCTTCAGGAGCTTTTTTCCCCCCGTGTACTCAAAAGGTTTTTGTTTTTTTTTTTGGGTTTTTTTTGTCCACCATGGAGAAGACTTCCTCAGCTTTTTGCTATTTTCTACTTTGTCTGTGCACCCTTGTGCAACAGATGACACAAACTGATGTTTCTTGTAGATTTTTCTTTTTTTTTCTTGGTTTTTATTTTTGTTTTTATTTATTTATATTTTTTTTTTACATTTTTTTTTAGAAAATTTGTTCTTCACATTTTTACTTTTTTTTTTTTACACTTCTCAAATTGACAGATAACTCCACCACAGCCTAATATCCAACACTCACTCAGCTTGAACCCACAGGTGAGCACCTTTGTCCATAAACACGCAGCTTCCTAAGGTTTTAGTGACCAAACTGTTCCAGTACTTTCAGACACAGTTTTGCATATATTACAGCTGAGACTTGGTACTTTAATGCTGTCTGTTATATTATTTTAGATTTAATGTACAAACCTGTTTTTACAGTGAAGATAGCCACAAAAACTTGTGACCATTTTAAAAATATGCAGTAAAACTGGTTACAGCAGACAGAGGAGGCATTCAGTCTTCTGTTTTTCATTTCATTTCATTTATTTTTTTACAAGATTTACAAAGTTCATACATTTTAAAAGAGAAATTATTAGTTAGCAGATAATTACTCTGGCTTTTTTTTCTATTACTAGCTGCCAGTTGCTGAGTGACCTTTCCTGTTTCGTATTCGTCTGTAGTTTGTACTTGATGACTAACAGATAAAAAAATAAATGGGAAACACGAAGTTTCACAGTGTTGTGCTGAGTTCAAAATCTGAAATCATGCCATCAATAGAAAGGTCACAGTCTCCTTTTGCCTGTGATGCACACAGCCCTGCACTGAATGTGTCACCTGAGGTAACATGTTCACACATGACCTCAACACAAATCAAACTGATCCATCATCAGCTTGGACTGTGAACATATTTTAAAAGTCTTCATGGTGGACTATCTCTGGGCTGAATATAATCCTTCCAGCTTGAAATTTCTTATTGATAATACTCATTAATTTTTCTCTGAATGAATGCTGGTTAGAATGAGCAGCTTTCATGTCCCAGACCAGGCTGTGTTGTGGAACTTTATAAAAAGATAAATGTTTATCTTTGATTTATAGAGTAATTACCACCGGCTGTTTATTTACTTTGCTGTTTTAAATGTCCATATTTTACAGGGAAGAGTTAGCATTTAGTCGTTGTCAGGTTCAGTTATTATTAACACAGTGTGCGTTGCCACCTGAGTCGGGGACTCTTACAGCCAGCGGTGAAGTATGTTTCAGATTTTAGGTGATTTGTAAATCACTTGGTTGATTCACTCAAGCATTCTGTGAGTTGATGAGGTGTGTAACAACTCTGAGCAATATATCATGAAATTATTTTTTAATTGACTTGTCCTGTTGTTGTTTTTTTCCATCTGCAGGCTGTTTTGATGTCTTGGACTAAAGGCTTCAGGTCAAGTGGGGTGGAAGGACAGGACGTGGTCAGCCTTCTGAGAAAATCCATCAAGAAAAGAGGGGTAATTATCCAAATTTATAAACACTTGAACATTTGGAAAGGTATTGAAACAGTGCTAATTAAGTGTAGCTGCAGTTACATTCACTGGCTTGCCACTGTGTTAGGCACACCTTAGTAGTACTAGTTTGGACGTCCTTTTGCTTTCAGAACTTAATTCTTGATGGCATAGATTCAGCAATCGTCAGGAAACATTTTGGTCTGCACTCCCGTGATATCATCACAGTTTCTCCAGATTTCCCGGCTACATATCTGTAATGCAAAGTTCTGTTCTCCTGCATTCCCATAGTTACTCTATTCGATTGAGATCTGCGACTGTGGAGGCCATTTGGGTACAGTGAAATCAGTGTCATATTCAAGAAAACGAATTTAGGATGATCTGAGCTTTGAAACATGACATGTTAATGTGTGGGAAGCAGCCATCAGAAGGTGGGCATACTGTGTTCATACAGGGATGGATCAGGGATCAGCAACAATACCTCAGCTACTGTGGTGTTTAAAGGAAGTTTAACTAGCAAGTAACAAGAGGCCCACAGTGTGTAGAGCAGAAAACTCCACCCTTCTTTAAACTCATTTACAACTCTTTATGAAAGGTTGTAAGGACAAGATGGGAGAAACACCCTTCAACCATGTTATGAATGTTGGTTTTTCATACTTTGTCCACCAGAGGGCACTGTGCAGCGTTCCTGTTTGTATCATTTTTGAAACAGCAGGAATACAACAGAAAGTTGAGACAGATATACTGTAGATCAGCGGACCCCAACCACTGGTCCGTGAGTCGTTTATTACCGGGCTGCAAGAGTTGAGGCTCGGGTGTGAAATGTATGGTTTTCAGGGTTTTTAACGTTATTTATTTATGTTTTAAAATCATATTTATCGTTAACTCTGTTTCCCTGGATCTTTGCCCGTGTGTTATGAAGAAATCTTTGTTTTTCGGTACCGGTACTGGTTTGTTTTTTGTTTTTTTGTTTTTTTGTGGTATTTATCCGCAACGCCTTAAAGTCCGGTCCGTGAAAATATTATCGGACATAAACTGGTCCGTGGTGCTAAAATGCTTGGGTGCCACTGCTGTAGATCAGTGTTTCTCAACCTTTTGGAGCCACAGCATATATTTCACATTAGAAAAATCACATGGCACACCACCAAACAAAAATGTCACAAAAAGCATATTGATCATTTTTCCCTGCACACCAGGGATAGTGGAATTGGCTTGCTTTGTCCCCAGTATACCTTTTTTGCTTTCATCTGACCACTACTCATGCTAGGGCCTTCATCTGGGTCTGAATTTTCTCCAGGACCAGGTCAGAATGACTACTTTTTCTTTTCAAATATTTATTTATTGCTATTACACGCTGCGTTGTCGCACTCACAGTGTGACTTTATGCAATTTCTTCTTTGTCTTCTTCTTCTTCTTCTGTTTTACTGGCAGTTGGCAACCGATTAATTAGAGCAGGTCGTTGTACTGCCCTCTAGTGGAAGACATTGTAGTTGTTCTGCCCGTGACTCACACCAGCCGCTCGGTGTACTAATCAGGTGGAACCAGATAATCTTCCACAGCACACCTGATCATTTCTCACGGCAATCCTATTTGCCGCAGCACAGTGGTTGGGAAACACTGCTGTAGATGTAATTAATTCACTAATTAAGTGAGGACTGCTAAATAATTACACGTAACACATAGTAGAAAAATCTTTTTATGTTTCATGTCCTGGGAAAAAACCCAAACCATTAGACAATATATCAGATTTTAAGCTTTGCTGTGTAAACTGTAACCTCTGACCAGTCAGCCTGGCACAACTATGCTGTGGTTAAGCAGCTAATACATTAGCATCGTTGGCACACTGAATATTTGCATTAACAGGAGTTTGAACAGGTGTACCTAATAATGTGGTTCATCAGTGCTTATTCCTCAACCTGCAGGAAAAGATAGACTTGGGCACACATGAGAAACTCAGTGTAGAGGTGTTGTTTCTCTCATCCTGTCTGAAAATAGTGTGAGGAAACTTTGCAACATGATCTCAAAACACGCCTGACACCACAAGGCAAGCGTGCTCGTTTTACTCCACTGTTTCATGACCAAATCGTTCTAATCGTTAAATCCCACAAGTCAAGAAGAAGCATGCCCATCTTGGCAGTGGTCAAAATCATTCAACCACTGACTCCTTGTCATTGGTTGGATGATGAAGAGCATATAACAGAGCAGATGAGCAGATCAACCATCACTTCTCAAAGCCTTTCTAATTTCTTCAGTAAGCTGGCTGAAGTAGTGGAAAGACTCAGAACAACATGAGTAGACAAATGCAAACCACCAGCCTGACTTGTTCTGCTATACATCTGCCACAATGCAAACATGTCCATGCAAGTTGATAATTTTCATGTATCCAGGGGCTTTATGAATCATCTTCATGAGCATGCATACATGGGGAAAAGGAGTAAGGACTGAACCCAGTGCCAAAACTAGAGTTTATGGTGAATTCTGAGTATACGCGAGGCTTGGCTCACCTCAAACAAGATATTTAGTGTCTGTTGACAACAAACTTACAAGTAATTCACACTGGCTCTTTTGGAGCAGCAAATGGTAAAAAAGTACAAATGGTACAATGTGAGAGTTTGCTTTGGTTTCTACGTGAACACACAGTGCCAAAGAGCATCCTGGTTGGAGCTCGTATGCAAATCGTGTACTCTAAGGGAGGACTGATATTAAATAAATGGAGCAGATACAATAGAGCCTTCGCAATGTGAATGCTCAGGCTCTAATAACTTGGAAGAAAAGATCTTTTTGTGCAGGCTAACACTACATGCGTCTTGTGCAGGTGACCTGGGGTAATGACAGCATGAGCTGCTGCATTGTGCCTATTAAAGATATCAATGATACTTCCAGCTATAAGTATGGAAGGTCATCCACAATAACTAAACAAATGTCCTCAGCAAACCTCAGCAAGAAAACACGTTTAGATAAAACACCTGCATAATGTCCTCATAAAAACTTAAAGATTGATTTCAGTGTAGTAAATTAAACAAAATGAAGTGCTGAAGTAAATCCAAAATACTGTGATGCAAGAAGTAGTGAATTCAAATGAAAGCTTGTTTTAATAAACAGATTCTCATTGCAGGACTTTGACATTGACATTGTGTCTGTGGTCAATGACACAGTGGGAACCATGATGACCTGTGGCTTTGATGACCGTCACTGTGAAGTTGGCCTCATTGTAGGTAAGTCTAATGTAACAGTGACTATAAATGGATTATGAGGCTCAGTGAGACTTCTACCACACAACAGTGATGTAACACCCATTAAACTGCATCCTAATGGATGAACTGCTCCATCTGTTTTCTTCTTGGGTAAAAATATCGATGTTCATGAAAAAAAAAAATCTTTTAATGCTGAAGGCCAGAACATGTGGCACCTCACTGTTGCACTCAAAAAAAGAAATTTCCCTGCTGAAGTTTCTTATTCATCTCTATTTAATTTTTCCTTTAATGGATTTCATTCAGATGCAGTTTCTGCTGCAAAGTGTGATATTATTGTTATAGTATTATATTTGTAACTTGTATTGTAAAAATATATACAAACTAGAGGAGAGAAGTGAGCACAGGTGCTTTCACACTCATCTTGTAAGTGTAATCTTAAATGTGCCCACTAAGCCCAGCCGACCTCTCAGTTAGTCGTTATATAGTTACTGACAGAGTTGTTGCAGTGAAATCTCTTTTCTCAAGGAACGGGGACCAACGCTTGCTACATGGAGCAGATGAGGAACATTGGTGTTCTGGATGGTGACGAGGGGCGGATGTGTGTAAATACTGAGTGGGGTGCTTTTGGGGACGACGGGGCCCTGGAGGACCTACGCACTGACATTGACCGGGAGCTGGACGCAGGCTCATTCAACCCTGGCAAGCAGCTGTGAGTGTGTTTGTTCTCACACGACTTGGTATTAGATAAAACATCCCACGCTGGTGGCTTCACAGGCAGGCGGGTTTGAATTAGAAGCGACTCTCTCTGATTTCCATTCATGTGGGCATATTGAAATACTTTGTCTGACTGCTTCACCTTTGTTGATGTTGTTGCTGATATTATGTAAATAACCTTTTTCATATACTAATTCAGAGTTCTGTCAAAAAAGTCAGTATGTCCTGGAACATTTGCGGTTTTGCAGACATGTGGACATGTGACAATCATGTAGGTTCAAGTGAATAAGGCTTCAGTCACACAGGCCTAGAGATTGGTCCATGACCATCTGGCAACCACCGGTCGTGAGGGAAAAATGAATATTCGGCTCTGCTAATACTGGCCAGCTGCTTTCAGAGTATCAGTGAAAATGAAAAATGCGATGCAAACTGGAAATGGAGCCCTTCAGCACTGCAGCCGGCAAATTTCAAAAGGCACAGCTAACTATTTCTGGTTTATGTTTCTTTAAGTTTTACTGCTGCTTGGCTAGTTGTTGGAGTATTTGCAGACAAACATGAAAAACTAAAGGTGACCTGCAGGGAGGTTTTTGGTGCAGCACCTTCTTTGCAACTGATTTCACCCAGCGACAGCCATCAAGCTGCAGGAACCATTGGCAACCTGTCAGAAAAGCACATTTTTCCCTAGCAACCAGTGGTTGTATCACATCCAGTATAGTGGACAGCTCTTGATATCACATGAGAAACCTCAATAAGAGGTCTGGGCCCAGACAGGGTTTAATAGAGTTAGGTGACGGATTTAAGTTTGCGTGACCTTAATTTCCAGTCACAATAAAGCATGCAGTGCGTCACAGAGAGATTAAACAGTTTATATACTTCAACGAATTACTTTAATGCCTAATTGGTGGATCATTATTACCATGTAATTCTAAAACAAAAATCAAACTTTTGACAGTTTATTTATTAAAATCTTTGTAGTTCTGACTGTCTCACACTTGTCAAACATTGTTATTTGTTTGTCTAAAAACATAAAAACAATACTCTGCTGGAAAGGCAGTTTACCTCAGCATTTAATTTGGGAACAGCTTTGTTATGTGCTGCTTACTCAATGAGAGTAATGTATTCTGAATACTTTGGATTACTTAATATATTATCATGCTTTTTTACAACTACATGAATGTACTATTGCTTTATTAATCCTTTATTTATCCAGGTAAAAAAAATCTCATTGAGATTAAAAATCTCATTTCCAAGAGAGACCTGTATGATTGCTGTGTGATTTATTACTATTACTGAAGGTTACTCGCCATACCAATACCAACTAGATGTTTAAATCTTAATATAAAATGAGTAACAGTAAGGTGGACATTAGGTAAGGCTGCACTTTTTGCAGTGATCTTGTATATAAAACAGGTCCGCGGCTCCAAACCGTAGTAAAGGGACCTCTGGCTATTACGTCGGGTTCCGTGTCGGGCTCGTAGCTGAAAACTAGCTTTACTTTATTGTGTGGTTCAAGTTTGCTAGCGAGAGACAGAGAGAGGCGTTGAAAGGCTGCTCCAACGGAACTTTTTGTTTCTGAGGAAAACACGAACACAGTGTACAGTCGAGTCTTAATAGCTTACTTACAACTGGGCTCGTCAGGCTCTCTTTTTGGCTGCAGTGGTTATTATTATATTTACATGCTTCCAGCTCCCGTTTCTGCTCGGTGACAACTTGTACTTTTCCACTCTCCTTTTTCTCCCTCCTCACGCTCACAGACACATAACGGGTATGGCAGTGCATTCTCCGTGCAGCACAGACTACACTGCCCATGAGGCTACATTCTTTAGGGCTATGCCTGTAACACTCTGCCTGCATATTAAATCATTTTTGTGAATCATTTTTTTAAAATATTTCTTTACGTCATTATGCGGGCCGCAAGTAGGGGTGACATGGGCCGCGAGATTGAGACACAGGCATTAGAGCCTCTTAATGCGTGTTTTGTTTGGGGCGTGGAAACCAAAAATAGAGAGAGCATAGCCGAACATATGAAACAGGAAAATACCGCCATGTAATCCCTTAATTTCAGCAAAGTAACTGTATTCTAAATACCACCTTTTTAAACGGTAACTGTAACAGAATACAGTTACTCATATTTTGTATGTTAAATACGTAACGGCGGTACATGTGTTCCGTTACTCCCCAACACTGTGTGTAGATGTACATAAATAGAGCTCATCATATTTTATAAATATATGTATATCACATTGTTTTGCTTCTCTTTTTTTCATGTTGCATGCAGGTTTGAGAAGATGATTAGTGGGATGTACATGGGGGAACTGGTACGTCTCATCTTGGTAAAGATGGCCAGATCACAGCTGCTGTTTCAGGGCAAGACTACGTCAGAGCTCCTCACCACCGGACACTTCAGTACCAGCCACATCTATGCAATCGAGAATGACAAGTTAGTTTTTCTTTGTGTGTGTGTGTGCACATCTGCACCTTGACACTGCATTCTGTGATATCTCTCAGATGGCGGATTAAGTGCAAACCTGTTGAACATTATGTTAGTAGCAACGAGCTATGCCAGGAATTAAGATGCTCATCGAAACTGCCGAACAACCAAGAGCTACATCTGACACTCTGCAGACCTGAATTAGTCTGTTAAATGTTAAAGTTCATGACAGCACAAAAAAAAGGCTGAACAATTATAGCTCCATTGGACGTCAGTCTAAAAATAACATGGCAACACTGCTGACGTTTTTAAAGTTGCATAGGTTGGGTGGGCTGGCTGTAGTCAGGAGGTAGAGCAGGTCATGTACTAATTGGAAGGTTGATGGTTCGATCCCTGACTGCATCCTGCCTTCTGCATCACAAACTCCAAATTGCTCTCCGATGCATCGGAGTGTGAATGTATGCATTATATAAGCAGTAGATAATAACCAGGGGCAGCACGGTGGCACGGTGGTTAGCACTGTTGCCTCACAGCAAGAAGGTCCTGAGTTCAATTCCACCATCAGGCCGGGGTCTTTCTGTGTGGAGTTTGCATGTTCTCCCCGTGTTTGCGTGGGTTCTCTCCGGGTACTCCGGCTTCCTCCCACCGTCCAAAGATTGTGGGGATAGGTTAATTGGATAATACAAATTGCCACTAGGTGTGAATGTGCGAGTGAATGTGAGTGCGAATGGTTGTCTGTCCCTGTGTGTTGGCCCTGTGACAGACTGGCGACCTGTCCAGGGTGTACCCTGCCTCTCGCCCTATGACAGCTGGGATAGGCTCCAGCACCCCCCGCGACCCTGAAAAGGATAAGCGGAAGCGAATGGATGGATGGATGGATAGATAATAACCAGTCCATTCACCATTCGGATGAAACTCATTCATGCAACAGGAGCCCAATCACAGCAAAAAATCTCTAACAGAATGGTGAAAAAGGCAAAGAATCAAGGTGTTGTAATGGCCCAGACCTCAGCCTGACTGAAATTCTGTAAATCTGACTGAAAGAAAGTAAATCTCCAAAAGTTGATTCTGTTCATCTGGACGTAGCGTTTTGTGGGAGAAACGTTTCGTCACTCATCCAAGTGACTTCTTCAGTCTCAGCTGACTGCAGGTTCCCCAATCTTATAAACAGTACGTTTGCATAATGTCATTATGCAAATGTATTCAAATTTACTGTACTGCAAAATGTACTGTTTATAAGATTGGGCAAACCTGCAGTCAGCCGAGACTGAAGAAGTCACTTGGATGAGTGACGAAACGTTTCTCCCACAAAACGCTACGTCCAGATGAACAGAATCAACTTTTGGAGATTTACTTTCCTGGATGATTGAGAATGCATCAAGACGCTAAGAAAGTGTTGCATAAATGAGTGCTCCCACACTGCAATGAACTGAAGCAACATTTTAAAGAAGAGCCAAAATGACACAATGACAAGAGAGAGTGATAAAGTCACACACAACACAATTAATTCAAGTTAGGGCCAAAATGACAATCATGAGTATTTAGTGAACAATAATCTCCAAATCTCCATATTATAATTCACACTCCTTTCACATCTGTTCACATATTTGTATCAAAGTAGTCCTTCTTATTCACCAAAACTTTCAACAAAATGAAATCAACAGGGCATTACTTTATATACATTTTAATGCATGATCACTCATATTCATTTAATTGTAGGAAGCCAAACTTGAGATTATAATTTGTTTAACTGTGGAACCCTGCTTCAAGTTATTGTGGCTGAAAGTTGTTTCAGACATCACTAAATAATGGGGTGAACTGCATAAAGTCTTGTGTAAACGTCCTCACATGGCTCTATTTGCATATAATTGCCATCGCTCCTGTTTTGCTAGATTTTTTATTTTTATGTTTATTTTTTGGGTGGATTGAGTCAAAATATTAGTTATTTATAGCTAAAGAGGTGAACAAGTGATGTTTAACACCAAATACATGTTTAGTGAGTCTTTCAAAGATTCTTGAACAGAAATCTTCCCCAACAGCAAAGTAGAAGTACAGCATGCAGGGAAGAGAAACCCAGACCATCTCACAGAACACACAGTCCATTTCCTGAAAGTTTATTATTCCTTTATTGCTTTCTGGTAAATAATCTATTAATAGGTCTTCATTAATAAGTTAAATTCTGAGTTTGAATGTTCAAAAGCAGTGGGCAGAGATTATATGCTAGTAATTAAAAATGTGCTGTGAAGGTTGAGGATAGAGAAGGAAGAGGCGTACAACCCAAAGAACACCTTCCCCACACTGAAACACGATGGTGGGAGTGTTATGCTTGTGATTGTTTCGTTTGTCTGGAACTGAGAATCTCATCAAGGTGGAAGGAATCATGAAGAAGGATATCTGCAGATTTTGGAAAAAACAAACCTGTAGCAGCGAGCACCAAAGCTGAGATCCTCCCTTTGTCTCCAAACACCACAACCCAAAACACACATCTCTCCTGTTGGAGAACTACCTCCAGACAAACAAAGTGACTCTTCCTGACTGGCCTACATAAAGCCCTGAGCTGAATCAAAATTGAAAATCTGTGGGATGAACTAAAGACTAAGATCCATGCCAGAAAAACATAAAATGTGGAGGAGCTTAAAAGATTTGCAAAGGAAATATGTAGTTGTATATGCAACTAGCTATTAGCATGGAGGCTAATAATTTTGAAGCTGTTAGTTTTTGTTTTTTTGTGAAATCATTATGTTTCCGTATGCAAAGTAAAATAATGTGAGCATCTATAATAATCTAGGCTGTTTGGAACAGCTGTGTTAAAAATGTCTTGCCCTTTTAAAAAACACTTGGCACGTACTTAAAATAAAACGACGTTTTTATGGGGGAGGGTAAGAATTCTGTCCTCAAGCTCTTCTTCTATTCTTCACATTAATTTCTTCACTTTCCTTCCTGCAGAGATGAGGAAGGTATTGCTAGTGCTGAGAAGATACTTCGTGGCCTGGGGCTGGACCCGTCGGTTGAGGACTGCATAGCAACTCGGAGGGTGTGTCAGATTGTATCCACACGGGCCGCACACCTGTGCGCTTCCTCTCTAGCATCAGTGCTGCGACAGATCCGGGATAACAAAGCTGCTGAGAAGTTGCGTGTCACTATTGGAGTGGATGGCTCTGTTTACAAGAATCATCCAGAGTAAGTGAATCACTTCTGTTATGTTGGTCTCGCCAACACATTCATGACTTTGATCTGTGTCACTGGCACCTTTTACTGTAGCTGTGGAGTGACTGTGGCTGTGTTTGTCACTTCAAATCACATTTTTACTATTCATTCTGTGTGCCTGCATGTCCCTGAGACAAAGAATATAAGAGCATAAAGGCAAGTCTCAGGGAGGTGATCTCAGTGAACAGCCACATACAGTGGGGCAAAAAAGTATTTAGTCAGCCACCGATTGTGCAAGTTCCCCCACTTAAAATGATGACAGAGGTCAGTAATTTGCACCAGAGGTACACTTCAACTGTGAGAGACAGAATGTGAAAAAAAAATCCATGAATTCACATGGTACGATTTGTAAAGAATTTATTCGTAAATTAGGGTGGAAAATTAGTATTTGGTCACCTCAAACAAGGAAAATCTCTGGCTCTCACAGACCTGTAACGTCTTCTGTAAGAAGCTTTTCTGTCCCCCACTCGTTACCTGTTTGAACTCATCATCTGTATAAAAGACACCTGTCCACAGCCTCAAACAGTCAGACTCCAAACTCCGCCATGGCCAAGACCAAAGAGCTTTCGAAGGACACCAGGAAAAGTATTGTAGACCTGCACCAGACTGGGAAGAGTGAATCTACAATAGGCAAGCAGCTTGGTGTGAAAAAATCAACTGTGGGAGCAATCATCAGAAAATGGAAGACATACAAGACCACTGATCTCCCTCGATCTGGGGCTCCACGCAAGATCTCATCCCGTGGGGTCAAAATGATCATGAGAACGGTGAGCAAAGATCCCAGAACCACACGGGGGGACCTGGTGAATGACCTGCAGAGAGCTGGGACCAAAGTAACAAAGGTCACCATCAGTAACACACTACAACGGCAGGGAATCAAATCCCGCAGTGCCAGACGTGTTCCGCTGCTGAAGCCAGTGCATGTCCAGGCCCGTCTGAAGTTTGCCAGAGAGCACATGGATGATACAGCAGAGGATTGGGAGAATGTCATGTGGTCAGATGAAACCAAAGTAGAACTTTTTGGTATAAACTCAACTCGTCGTGTTTGGAGGAAGAAGAATACTGAGTTGCATCCCAAGAACACCATACCTACTGTGAAGCATGGGGGTGGAAACATCATGCTATGGGGCTGTTTTTCTGCCAAGGGGACAGGACGACTGATCCGTGTTAAGGACAGAATGAATGGGGCCATGTATGGTGAGATTTTGAGCCAAAACCTCCTTCCATCAGTGAGAACTTTGAAGATGAAACGAGGCTGGGTCTTCCAACATGACAATGATCCAAAACACACCGCCCGGGCAACAAAGGAGTGGCTCCGTAAGAAGCATTTGAAAGTCCTGGAGTGGCCTAGCCAGTCTCCAGACCTCAACCCCATAGAAAATCTGTGGCGGGAGTTGAAAGTCCGTGTTGCTCGGCGACAGCCCCAAAACATCACTGCTCTCGAGAAGATCTGCATGGAGGAATGGGCCAAAATACCAGCTACTGTGTGTGCAAACCTGGTAAAGACCTATAGTAAACGTTTGACCTCTGTTATTGCCAACAAAGGTTATGTTACAAAGTATTGAGTTGTATTTTTGTTATTGACCAAATACTTATTTTCCACCCTGATTTATGAATAAATTCTTTACAAATCCTACCATGTGGATTCATGGATTTTTCTTTCACATTCTGTCTCTCACAGTTGAAGTGTACCTCTGGTGCAAATTACTGGCCTCTGTCATCATTTTAGGTGGGGGAACTTGCACAATCGGTGGCTGACTAAATACTTTTTTGCCCCACTGTATTTGCTCTGTGTGATTATATAAATAAGTCAGACAAACAGTTTAAAGACTGAATGCTGGAAGGATGTATACATGATAAAGGAGCATCATCAAGTTTACTTATAGCAGAGAAAAATCCATCTATAAGAAATTGTGCTCTTAAACTGAGTCCTTATCTTTCTGCCCCCCTTTTTTCTTAAAGGAAAATTGCTGCAAGCTGAATTGCCTGCCACTTACCTTTTCCAGGTTTCCTAGCTGGCTTGATTATGCGCTGCTTTTAGTGTAAATGAAAATGATAATCTATAAAATATACAGCTTGTCATTGTGTGTGTGTGGGGGGGGGTTAACTGACAAGGAGGGTGTGTTCAAGACGTTAATGGGCACAGCTGATTGTATTTGTGCGACACAGGGTCAAAAGATGTTCATTTTAAATTTAAAAGGTTTGCTGATCAAATATATCTAGTGGAAATGTCACCAGGTTCATCAGTTAAAGTGCACAGTGTGTATGAAAAAAATGATTCTGTGTGTGTGTGTGTGTGTTCCTTGGCAAAAATCATAAGCATGATATACTCAGGTATAAGAAGTGGCTACACAATGTTAATCTCTGAAGAAGGAAATGCCCATAGATGATGTTCCTGATTATTGTCTGGTGTAGAGCAGCTTCAATGTAAAAAAAAAAAAAAAAAAAAAAAAGAAGATCAAAACACAACAGAGCAAGTTGTTTGGGTATCATGTGTACAAGCGAAAAAGGAACAACAGAAGACAGAAACCATGGGGACTTAACCAAATGTGTGTCTTTTCTAGGTTTTCCAGGAGGCTCAACAAAATGGTTCGTCGACTTGTACCCGACTGCGATGTGCGTTTTTTGCAGTCACAGGATGGTAGTGGGAAGGGTGCAGCTATGGTGACTGCGGTGGCCTTCCGACTTGCCAACCAAAATGCTGACCGGCAGCACATCCTCGACACGCTGGGCTTGAGTCGCGAACAGCTGCTGGAGGTAAAGAGGCGATTCAGCGAGGAGATGACCCGAGGTCTGTCAAAGCAAACCCACAAGCAGGCCAGCATCAAGATGCTTCCCACTTATGTCCGATCCACTCCCGACGGATCAGGTAGGTTTAACCCCACCTCCCCCAAGCTCTGGCTTGCTTTTGACCAGAGATGGGCAGTAATGCGTTACTTGTAACGCGTTACTGTAATCTGATTACTTTTTTCGAGTAACGAGTAAAGTAAGGGATTACTATTGCAAAATCGGTAATTAGATTACTGTTACTTTCCCGTAGGAACGCTGCGTTACTGCGTTACTAAAACCGTGATTTTTTGCGAGAATGTCTCACGACAGTGACGTAAGCGAGTGCGCCGTTAGTGACAACAGCTGTGTGCAGATCAACAATGGATCACATATCGAGTGCGGGAGAGAGTATGAGCGTGCAGCGTTTAAAGCGTGGAAGTACTGACCTTACTTTGAGTTTGATTCCATAAAAAGTGACAAAAACATTAGCGTCCATCGTGCGTGGGAAGAAAACTTCTTTTTACAGCGAAAAAACCCCTAAACTTCCAAGGAAGCACCAAGAGCGCAACGACGTAATGGGAAACTCACAGAGACACTGCCGTATCCTTCCACTGACCGCTGCACACCTGCACCAGGGTAAACCTCCGCCTACTGCAGTCCTGCTTTACAGGTGAAAATAGAGCAACAGGACCGCTGAGTCTTTGACTTTATTTATTTTCTGCTGTGTTTTACTTGCATCTATTTGAAAGAGTGAGTGTAAACGCAAAAAATTATTTTATTTTATGTGCTGGAATGTGTAGAAAATAGGTTTAAATGTTAAACTCATTTATTCAACTCAGAGAATGTTGCATATAATTAAATTTTTGCTTGATGCATAAAGTTAAAAGATTAAAAATGATAAAACAACTTAAAAAAAGAGACTTTTCCATTTGATTACATTTTGTATGATGGATTATGCAGAAAAAGTAGAATTGGGCTGAAAGATCTATCGCTTTATCACCTCTTCAGGTTGTAAATCGTGTTTTAAAAAAGTAACTAAGTAACTAAGTAATTAATTACTTTTGAAAATAAGTAATCAGTAAAGTAACGGGATTACTTTTTTGGGGAAGTAATCAGTAATTAGTTACTGATTACTTTTTTCAAGTAACTTGACCAACACTGCTTTTGACACAAGGTTTCTTTTTTCTTTTTTTCTTTTTTAAATATAATGAGTTAATGTCTTTTATACCTGGACAGAACATGGCGATTTCTTGGCTTTGGACCTTGGAGGCTCCAGCTTTCGAGTGCTTCTGGTGCGAGTGAGAAGTGGAACAAAACGCAGTGTGGATATGCAACAGAAGATCTACAGTATCCCACAGGAAATCATGCAAGGCACAGGGGAAGAGGTAGTGCTTCAACTGAAACTGACTAACAGGAAGCTACTTGTGATTAAGAGCTAAATTAAGGCCAAATGTTGGTTAAAAACTTGCCATGTCAAAGCACAGTACTGTGGATGTTTGCAAAAGTGATGCTTTGTACTTATTTGTACTTATACCTTATAATATTCCTTTTAATTTTGTTTTTTTGTTTGGTTTTTTTTCTAGCTGTTCAACCATATTGTGGACTGCATAGCTGACTTTTTGGAATACATGGGCATGAAAGGAGCATCTTTACCTTTGGGTTTTACGTTCTCCTTCCCCTGCGATCAAACCAAACTTGATGAGGTAATTTTCTGTGTTTGTGTAAAATGACCTATAAACTATATGAGTTCAGACTGGTTACATCTTTCTCTTGGTGCCTTTCACCAAAAACATTTATACTTTTTACCCCAGCAAAGACCCACCCTTGGTCTACGTCAGTTTCAGTTTAGACTGAAGTAAACTTCATGATTCAGTAGTTTGTAACTTGATGTAATCATTTTCTGAATCACTTGTATCAATTTCCACATCATCATTGTTTTGCCCACCCCTCTTTACAGCATTGCTTCAGTTCATTGAGCTTTGCAGGTAGTTGCTTCATTTGTAGTTCTCGTGAGGTCCCACTGCAGCATCTGGGCTTTGACTGGGCCATTGCAACACCTTAATTATTTTCTTTTACAGCCATTCAGTTGTAGATTTGCTGGCTGTCTTAAAACCAGCGTTTTGTTGCATGAACCAGTTTTTGTCAAGTTTTAGCTGTCAGACAAATGGCCTTACATTTAATTCTGTTTTTTTTTTCTAATTACTCTGTCATAAAACTTTGATAATTTAGGCTTGATGAGACTGAGATGTAGTCCTTTTTGTAGATAGGACGCCCAAATGCCCCAGATCAGCAAAGTGCCCAAACTTCTGCTTTTATAGAGGTGCTCACACTTGCTGATGGATCAGTTCATCAAGTGCATTTGATTAACAGCACCTGGTTGCTACTTGCACTGTACTCTGGTTTAGCTTAGTTGGTTTTGTTTTTGTTAAATAAATAATGATGCGGTGCAGGATGTCATGTTTTGTGGTTGCTCGGAGGTTGTATTTATCTAATTGCCAGACCTGCTACGGATCAGGTTATTTCATTTATATCTTCTTATACTTAAAACTTTCTTCTTCACGCTGTATGTGAGCACAGGAGTGTGTCAGGTAGAGAAACTGGTCTAAACTATACTCTGTTTTCTAAACTTGCTGGGACACTCTGGTGGGGAGTACACAAGCTACAGTGGCTTGCAAAAGTATTCGGCCCCCTTGAACTTTCCCACATTTTGTCACATTACAGCCACAAACATGAATCGATTTTATTGGAATTCCACGTGAAAGACCGACACAAAGTGGTGCACACGTGAGAAGTGGAACAAAAATCATACATGATTCCAAACATTTTTTACAAATAAATAACTGCAAAGTGGGGTGTGCGTAATTATTCAGCCCCCTTTGGTCTGAGTGCAGCCAGTTGCCCATAGACGTTGCCTGATGAGCGCTAATGACTAAATAGAGTGCACCTATGTGTAATCTAATGTCAGTACAAATACAGCTGCTCTGTGACGGCCTCAGAGGTTGTCTAAGAGAATATTGGGAGCAACAACACCATGAAGTCCAAAGAACACACCAGACAGGTCAGGGATAAAGTTATTGAGAAATTTAAAGCAGGCTTAGGCTACAAAAAGATTTCCCAAGCCTTGAACATCCCACGGAGCACTGTTCAAGCGATCATTCAGAAATGGAAGGAGTATGGCACAACTGTAAACCTACCAAGACAAGGCCGTCCACCTAAACTCACAGGCCGAACAAGGAGAGCGCTGATCAGAAATGCAGCCAAGAGGCTCATGGTGACTCTGGATGAGCTGCACAGATCTACAGCTCAGGTGGGGGAATCTGTCCATAGGACAACTATTAGTCGTGCACTGCACAAAGTTGGCCTTTATGGAAGAGTGGCAAGAAGAAAGCCATTGTTAACAAAAAACCACAAGTCCTGTTTGCAGTTTGCCACAAGCCATGTGGGGGACACAGCAAACATGTGGAAGAAGGTGCTCTGGTCAGATGAGACCAAAATGGAACTTTTTGGCAAAACGCTATGTGTGGCGGGAAAACTAAGACTGCACATCACTCTGAACACACCATCCCCACTGTCAAATATGGTGGTGGCAGCATCATGCTCTGGGGGTGCTTCTCTTCAGTAGGGACAGGGAAGCTGGTCAGAGTTGATGGGAAGATGGATGGAGCCAAATACGGGGCAATCTTGGAAGAAAACCTCTTGGAGTCTGCAAAAGACTTGAGACTGGGGCGGAGGTTCACCTTCCAGCAGGACAACGACCCTAAACATAAAGCCAGGGCAACAATGGAACGGTTTAAAACAAAACATATCCATGTGTTAGAATGGCCCAATCAAAGTCCAGATCTAAATCCAATTGAGAATCTGTGGCAAGATCTGAAAACTGCTGTTCACAAACGCTGTCCATCTAATCTGACTGAGCTGGAGCTGTTTTGCAAAGAAGAATGGGCAAGGATTTCAGTCTGTAGATGTGCAAAGCTGGTAGAGACAAACCCTAAAAGACTGGCAGCTGGAACTGCAGCAAAAGGTGGTTCTACAAAGACTCAGGAGGCAGAATAATTACACACACCCCACTTTTCAGTTATTTATTTGTAAAAATGTTTGGAATCATGTATGATTTTCGTTCCACTTCTCACGTGTGCACCACTTTGTGTTGGTCTTTCACGTGGAATTCCAATAAAATTGATTCGTGTTTGTGGCTGTAATGTGACAAAATGTGGGAAAGTTCAAGGGGGCCGAATACTTTTGCAAGCCGCTGTACCTTGGATATAGCAATCATAGCCTTTTGCATTGTCAGAAAAAAAAAAACCCAACAAATAATAACAATCAAATGTTCCCAGCAGCTTGAAGTTTGAACAATCAGTGAACTATAGGGAGTGTTGTTTGGATGATGATGAAAATAAGAAGCCCTGCAGAATAAATTTGAACTCTGAATCATCGCCCCAAACAAAATACCTGGAATAGGGTGTCATGCAGACAGAGTTGCATAAAGAAAGATATTTTGGTGATCTGTGAATGTGATTGTATAAGTGGGCTCGGTTGTTGAACTTGAAAACAAGGAGCGACAATTGATGACAACAACCTGCCACATGTGTTAAGCCAGTGGTTCCCAAACTTTTTTTGCCAGGCCCCCCTTTTTTTTTTACAAGAAAAATGTTCACGCCCCATGCCTCCTTCTCGCACGTGCACGCACACGCGCAAACACATCCTCCAACCACACACACCCATATTTTGCTCCATTGCTGTTTATTTCACACCTCAAACATTTAGTGAACAATTAAGCAAATGCAAGTAATCTGCAATAAATTACAGGTTGTAAGAAAATAAACTACTAACTCTTTAACGCTACGTCCACACCTACACGGGTATTTTTGAAAACCCAGCTGTTTCGTCCACACGTAAACGGCGTTTCGAATCACTGAAAACTGTGATTTTTTTTAAAACTCCTTTTTTGCGTTTACGTGTGGACGAGGAATACAGAGTTCCTCATGCAACGTCAAAGGTATGTGCCTTTTTTCACGTCACGCTGTGCGCCACGTTATTGTTTACAGGAGATGAATTGCAGAATGGCAGATTAACAGTATTTTGTCTCTATCTTCAGGTTTTACACGCTTACACACATGCAGTTACTGTCCCTCTATTTAGAAAGACAGAGGCGTCACGGTGTGATTATTTTAGTTGTTTTTTTCCTGTGTAATAATATTCAACATTGTTATCAATACATTTTTCAAAAATGCCTCTCTGTGCAAAATAGGTTCAAAAACATAAACAACTGTGGGATACTGTTTGTCCGTGATTTAGACAGGGGACACAAAGTGTGGCAGGATCAGCCTGATATTATTTGTATCCCGCTGTAACTTTACTGTATAAAGAGCTAACATTTCCAAATGGAGACAATGGAGGTTTGTCTTCCTTGACTGCTTCTTGTTTTTGTTTGTGTTTTGTTTTTCTAATTGAGACCTGAGTTGTTGTTTTTTTTTCTTTCTGTGTGTGCTTAAATTTTCAGCTCTAATGACACCCTGACTACAAAAAAATGTTTATTTTCTTTGCATGCAAAGAGTAACGTGAACCAAAGTCAAATGTTTGTGTGCACAAACGTGGCTAAATACAAAGGATTCTGATCGTGACTCTGTAATTTGTCTAGGGCATACTCCTGAAGTGGACGAAGGGGTTTAAAGCCAGTGGCTGTGAGGGGAAAGATGTTGTCGCGTTGCTTAAAGAAGCTGTCCGCAGCAGAGGGGTCAGTACATCAATCACAGTCTTAAATACAATTTTAAAGTCACTTCACTTTTTTTCATCTGCCAAAGCACAGCATAAGTTGCCTCAAGGTGTTTTATATGTAAAGCAAAGACCCAACAATATTACAGAATTGTGGCCTTGAATATTAACCCTTGATTCATGTAATAAAAAGAGCCAAAGTGGCTAGACTGTACCATGATGTTATACAGTCACATGTAAGACCCAGGAGAGCAGCACTCTAAGAGATCCACCTACACTTGCAAGTGAATGTCTGAATTTTCTCTCCAATGCTTTTAGTTACGACTTTCATTTCTGATTGAATAACAAGTACATCAGTTTAATTGCATGAGATTTAACAAATAGATTAAAATGGTCTTGTGTGATTCTTTGAATTTGTGTTTGAGTTATTTTCTGAAATGGCTGAGTGTATATGTACACACACAGAGAGATATATACATGTGTCTATATGTAGATATTTATATATATTTACGTGTGTGTGTGTGTGTGTGTGTGTGTGTTTTTGTGGCTGAAATGTAAGATAAAGTAATGTAAGTAGTGCTTGTTATAAAAGTACAGAATCTTATTATATAATCTGACAATTTACCAAACTATGATTTATATCTTCTGTTTTCCGGTGCTCACAGCGTTAGATGATGCACTAAAGCAATATGAGGATTCTCAGACCCGCAACCATTAGAACTGCAGTTGAGTGAAGAGTGTAGATAAGCGAATAATGTATTTCTAGTGCTATGGATAATATTAATATTTATGCTTATGCTCAGGCGGCACGGTGGCACGGTGGTTAGCACTGTTGCCTCCCAGCAAGAAGGTCCCGAGTTCAACTCCACCATCAGGTCTTTCTGTGTTTGCATGTTCTCCCCGTGTTTGCGTGGGTTCCCTCCGGGTACTCTGGCTTCCTCCCACCGTCCAAAGACATGCAGCTTGTGGGGATAGGTTAATTGGATAATCCAAATTGCCACTAGGTGTGAATGTGAGTGCGAATGGTTGTCTGTCCCTGTGTGTTGGCCCTGCGACAGACTGGCGACCTGTCCAGGGTGTACCCTGCCTCTCGCCCTATGACAGCTGGGATAGGCTCCAGCGCCCCCCGCGACCCTGAAAAGGATAAGCGGAAGCGAATGGATGAATGGATGCTCAGTTCCAGTTCATAGATATGAATAAGTTTGTTTACTTTGCTTCCAGGAATTTGATTTGAACTTTGTGGCAGTAGTTAATGACACAGTGGGAACCATGATGACTTGCGGATACGAGGACCCCAAATGTGAGGTGGGACTCATCGTCGGTAAGTTTGGCCACCTCCCTCCTTCTTTGAAGTCTTGCAAAGTTTATTTATTGTTTGCAAACATTGTCTGGTATATTTCTATTTATTCATCATCTTTGTAGTCAAGCTGTTCTATGAAAGTCCTCGTATTTTGTCTGATTAATTTCAGGCACAGGGACCAATGCCTGCTACATGGAGGAAATGCATAACATCGAACTGGTGGAGGGCGACAATGGCCGCATGTGTGTCAATGTCGAGTGGGGAGCATTTGGTGAAAATGGGGAACTAGAGGAGTTTTGCACAGAGTTCGATCGCCTCGTCGATGCCTGCTCTAACTACCCTGGGAAACAGAGGTACTGGATCGGTAATAAATGAAAAATCCACAGCGTGGATTCTCAGAGCCAAGATTCACAACAAACAGCATCACATGTAGTTACCATTATGAACACATAAGGGAAAAACAAGACAAGGACTGACTGAGAGAAAGACACACTGGCTCAAGAAACACAGAAGAGTCAGGGAGTCTATCATGAAATAATAATGCTGCCAATTAAAAGACACATGGAGAGTGCACTACACTGCAAGTCACCACTGTGACAGTTGTTTGAATAGATAACTCATAGTGTCACACATCAAGAGCTCTCTGTGGCAGTAAAGCAATTCCAGCCGTCAGTTCTGACATTTCCCACAATGACAAAGTTTCAGTGTCGAAAACTGGAATCACAGATTTATTTATTTATTTTTTTATAAATTACTGACATTAGTCTTTTAGAAATATCAGGCTCCAGAAATGCTCCGTATAAACTAGACCTTTAAGATATTTATGGTCACAAGTCAGATAATCTTACCATTGTCAAATACTCAATCCAAATTCTGTAAACAAAAACTATGAAGGAATAATCGGAAACATTTGTTACAAAAGGAGGAACAAGTTTGTCTTACTCAGCATTTTTAGACTACAGACAAACATGTTGAGAATAAATTTAACCCTGTTGTGCTTTAAACTCAATTTGCACTACTGTAATGTGACACTGCAACACTCTGTCCTGATACCCAGACATGAGTTTCTCTGCATCGACGTCAGTATTTTTTTTTTTTCTTTAATGCCTAAGATAAGGTTTATGGTTAGGTGTTATGGTTGATGTTGGTTTGTGATGATTATCTTGCTGAACAATTTATGAATCTTTAATTCTCACAAAGCTTAATTTCTGTATAGTCCAAATGTTTACCAACAAACTGGCAGTGGCTTTTTGTCTAGTGAGCCAGAGTGATGCTAACTTTCAAGGTGGCCTACAAAAAAACATTGCCGCTGCAGCATTCTGCACTTCATAACAAACAGGCCATTATTCACCAAATTCTTAAACTTCACATCAGGCCCTTTTGAAAGTACACATCATTTAAAATCCAACAAGTCAAAAGCAAGAGTTAATCTGAATAACAAATGTATATTCTTTAAACAACTATGTTGGTGACTGTTATTATATTTGTAGGCTTAGACCTCAGCGCCCTGTACTATGACCTTCAGTGCACCCAAATTACCTTCCTGTTATCTGGATTCACTTATCCTAGCATCAGTGATCAGGATAAGTGATTGCATAAAGCAGGTTATCAACTCGCTAAGTTAACCCAGGGGGCTACCCTGTGTGTTCACATTAAAGTGGTGGTGCTGGCAGCATCTTACCAATCCAAAAGGGGCATTTCACCAATCTTATAACTCTTGTTTTCCCCCACAGAATGATCCCTATGAGTGTCACCTATTCCAATGATAAAATGTAAAATATTTCTATGTGATCAAATATATCTAAGAACATTAAAAGAACTGAAAAATGCAGTTCGATGCTGTAGAAAGACTACTGAAGAATGTAGCCTGTCCTGCTCTCCCTGCAGATGTGAGGGGGCCGTGGATTATAAGTCTAAATGCTGAGAATTAAGTCTGATCACATTTGTCTCTTGGCTCTTTGCACACAGTCGATCACTCAGTACCTTTGGCTGAATGATAGAGACTCAGCATAGCTGCCAGCTATTTTATTCACCCAAAGAGCTGTTTATACAGCTGTCTGGATAAGATACGTGTTTTATCTTTTTTTAAAAGCACAGTTCTTGTATGATTGTTTATCAAACTACTGGATGGACTACAAAACAGCAGAATTGTGTCTGCAGGAACATCTGTTACAGAGACACTCTTAAACTAAAACGATGCAGAGTGATTTCCACTTGGGGTTCAGGTTTCATTTTGTTCTTATAAATAGAATTAGATTAAGGAAAAATAAATTCATCAGCTTCATCAGATCAAATGTTAAAAACACATCAAACAGAAGAAGAGCTAAAGTAATCTGGGGTCATTTGATGAGCATCTCTGTAAATGTGCAATCTTTGGATAGTTTAACTTGGTGGTTAAATACAGTTTGTTAGCAACATGTTTTTAACAGTTTCTAATTACCAAAACAAAAACAGCAGACTCCATCAAGAACAAACTAACAATAACAAAAAACAATACCAATGAACTGAATACCCAGAGCATACAAAACAACACAAAACTGCAAAAGTATTTTTGTTTTCTATGTTGTGCATGTGCTACACATGCAAACTCATCAGCATGCAACTATTTAAGCAATATAACATTATATATTATTTAATTAATATAGATATAAGATGATAGGTGGACATTTTACCAGAGTAACTAGTCACACATACACACTTGCATGTATCTTAAGATGGAAAAAAACTGAAAAGCAAAGTTTTCCCTTTGCTTTTCAGTTTCAGTACTATCTGTGAAAATGAGTTTGTGTGATTATGATCACTTTACTGCAGTTCTTTGGAGATCTGAGCAGTCATGGTGTTGATTGGTTGTTTCTTTATTTCAACAATAAAGCAAAAGCTGCACTTTAGTTTAGCTTGTAGTGGAATTAGAATATATACAGGCAGATTCAAAAAGCCCAGAGCAAGTGAGTCTGAATATGTTTGAAAATGAGTCTTGACTGTATTTGAGTGTTCCAGGAAAAGCCCAGACCTCTGTGGAGAGTTGTCGATCCAATCTGATTGACTTTGAGAGCATCTGCCTGTGAGAATGAGATAAAGGGTTCAAAGCTGTCCCAGAACCATCCAAGTTCAGCCTTTTTTCCTGAAATCTATATATTCTGTATTCAAGTCCACAGAAGCTCAGGCCTGCCACCACATCACATTTTTCTCTTGTTTATTCTGTTTATCTGAACACATCCAGACAAAACATTTAATTTGTTGGCTTAAAGCACTTTGTGGTCTTTGTTCTGAGAAAATACAAAATACCAAGCCACCAAAGAGGGAGGTCACACCTTTGACCGGGAGATGAAATGAAAGACACATTGTTGTTTTAAAGACAAGTCGGGCAACATCATTGGTTTCCTCTTGACTTATTCATGAGAGAACATTAAGATGTAGCTGTGAGTAAGACAGCAGAGCTATACCTATACAGGCATACTATACATTGATTATTTCAAAAGAAGAAGTGCTTTATTAAGTTATTTTTTCTTCTTTTAAAGAAGCCTTTTGGAATATCTGTAAAAAGAAGTCTGTGTCACGTCAGGGAGTTCATGCAGTGTGTGTCCTGTACATGCCGAGCATATAACATTAGACAGAATTCATTTCAGTCCCTGTTACACATTCTGGTAACTATTCCATTAAAATCTGCTTTAGTAATGACATTTGTTTTTGTTAATGGAACAAATAACTTATCTGACTTCTCTTAATTAATGTTTCTGTCTCCTCTTTCTCAAAGTAAATTGGTGCTTGCTCACTAAATTGCTTTTTAGTAACATTTGGGACTGAAATTGTAAATGGTGATAATGTAAATACTGTGGCTACTGTGTTGTCTGTGTGCATGGATCTGGAAAGTTTGAAGTTTGTGTGTTCTCTCGAAGGTATGAAAAGATGATCAGTGGGATGTACCTGGGGGAGATCGTGCGGAACGTGTTACTGGATTTTACCGCTAAGGGCCTGCTGTTCAGGGGCAAAGTGTCAGAACGACTGAAGACGCGAGGCATCTTTGAGACAAAGTTCCTGTCGCAGATTGAAAGGTGAGTATTACAAACTGCTCTAGTCTCAACATGTCTGTTGAGCTCACACCATCTTGGTCACATGTTTGGCATTTGTTATACTAAAGCCTGAGGTGTGTAATGATTATGTATAAAATGATGAGCAGCATGTCAATACTTTTTGTATCACTGACTCATTTTTGTTCTTTGAAACCAACACAGACCATTTAGATGTGATAACATAAAATCACAGTGTCTGAATATGTTGCCATCCTTTATACTTTCCAGTTATCCTTTTATATTTTTATATTTATTTAAGTATGTTAGTGAAATATAATACAAAGTTAACAGAGTTAACCATTTTTCCTTTTCAATGATAGTTAGCAGCCCAAAAAGGAAGCTCGACTTTACACCACAGTCTGTTCTGCTGCGATGCTTCTCCAATACATGTGCTGCTCAGACTATAGTAAAGCCACTTGTTATCCCAGGGTGTTAAATGCTGCCATTGTGTAAGATCCTGCTGGTATCATAGAGATGCACTGCCAGTGTCCTGGTCAAGCCGAGTGCAGAAGGTAAGACAGAAAAGAAACAGAGCAAAAACAGTTAAGCCGATATTTGGAGGTTTGAGGGGAGGCAGTGGGTCGAACGTTTGTCAGTTGGAAAACTGCAGTTTGTTTTTTGTTAGGGAGCTTTGTGTTTTCACAGAAAATCCTAGCTTGGGTTTAATATTCCTGAATGCGGCAGCTGTGGCTCAGGATCAGGAAGGATCAGGCTTAGGACGGAGAGGCTTGGGGGTTCGATCCCTAGTCGCTCCAGAGCCCGGAGTTGCTCCCAGTGCATTCATCAGAGTTTGGATGTTCTACTTAGAAGAAAGAAAAAGTGAATGAAACATGTTGGATAAAGCTGAGTGCTCAAGTATCACTCAAAGAACTCTACTTGAGTAGTAGAGCAGAAAAGTGCTGCCTAAGAACTAGGGCTGGGCCATATCATACCGTTCACGGTAATGTTGGGCAACGATAAGAAAATGAAATCTCGCGATAGAATATGGGTAAAACGCGCATGCGCAGTGCCTTTGTTTTCATACGCACATGGCGGAAAAAGCATAGCAGAGAATGAGAAGGCAAAAGCGGACTGTTGAATGAAACGATGAACCAGAATTGGTTTGTAAAAATGCTGCAACTTCAGTGGTGTGGAACTGGTTTAGCTTTCGTCCGTCAGATACACAACAAAGCACTATTTTTGGTAGCGCATGCTAGCAGGCCGTCGTTATTACCGTGTTTGTGGAAAATACGGCACACATAAAATCAATCCTTCGATTTTTCTGAAAATCGACAGTGCGCCTTATAATCCCGTGTACCTTATGTATGAATTCTAGTTGTGTTTACTGACCTCGAAACGATTTTATGTACACGGCGCTCGAAAATCTGTCAAATGTTTTAGTACGACTTTGCTAAGCTACGAAGCCGCACCGCTTGATGGATTGTCGGATCATTACGACTATCGTAGGCAGGAGCCTCACGGAGTGATGCGTACTGTGCTTCAACATAATATTACCGTGTTGTGTGTGTATAACCTCTTTTTAAGTTTTGTGGATATTATACATGGTTATGCTGAGGATATGTCGGCCAGTTTCCACTGGAAATGCCTTTTGGTTAAACTGTCAGCAAGAAATTTGCACTGTTAAATTTTTATATAACTTTAATGCACATAAAAAACAGCTGCTTGTTTAAGTGAAAATACATTGATGGGGTTTTTTGCACTAATAAAGTTGTGGAGTTGTAAAGTGTTTTGTCTAGTGTCAATTATATCGTCAGTTATATCGTTATCGCAAATTTTCAAATGTATATCGTGATAAATACTTTTGGTCATATCGCCCTGCTCTACTAAGAACCAGTCCATCTACTGTATGCATCATTAACACTGCATGCTAAGAAGTTCAGCTCATCCAGTGTGAACAAATAATACCAAGGTGTCGTTTGCATGTGATAAGGAGGACGTGACAGACCAATGACAAGCAGACCTTTGACCATATTTGAAACTCTGGGAATGAGAGTAGGCTTTGCAACCTGTGTGATGATGGCAGGATTTCTAAATGTTCTGTATGCTAGTAGCATCAGTTAAGGGCCTGAGGGCTCTGTCTTATCGAAAGCTTAGTTTAGCATTCTGATTGAATCATCCTGAATTTACCTCCCCTGCTACAGTGCACATGAAAGAGCCAAGATGTGTTATTACAGATTAATCTAAAGAAACATCAATCGCGCTGGGTGATTTTAAAGAGATTGATAGAAGCAGATCAATGCAAAAGTACAAAGAAATGGGTGAGATCAGAGATGTTTCAGAGAAAGGCTGTTACTTTGTGTTCATAAATTGTGCTCTTTACTTTCAGCACATTTGATGTGGAATTACAATATTTTAAATGGGTAAAATGACATTTATTCTAATGATTCTACACAAAGTCATTTAGAATGAGAACATTAAAATATGTTGATACTTATCAACTAAAGTTCACAAACTGAAATAATTGTGAAGTGATTAAGATCCTTTTAGCTGCACGTTGCAACGGACTGAGAAGGAAGAAGGTCTTTGGTCAGAAAGGGCTCCATCTGTCACTTTCCCATAGCTGCAGATGTCCTCTGCAGAGGAGTGAGAGCTCGCAGCGGCTCATCATCCATAAGGCTTTTTATGAAGCGAGATAGAAAACATCATGTGGCAAATCTCATTTAGAGGAAAGGATGTGGAAATAGAAAAATGGATGAAACAAAAAAATAGTGCTTCTCTGTAGGTCACAATGCTGCAGGTCCATGTTTGCTGCATCCACCAACATGTGGAGTCTGCAATCTTTCTAAAATCCAACCATGAATCTCTCTGAGTCTTTATAGGGTTTAAATTTGCACGTGTAAGACTTTGTCTGCTTTAAAGTTCCGCGTTTCTTTCTGATTATAAATGCTCTGTATGATTGTGTGTCTAATAAGTGGACTCTCTTTGCGCGTGCATAACACTTTCTTCTCTCCGACCCGCAGCGACCGCCTCGCCATGCGTCAGGTTCGCTCCATCCTGCAGCACCTGGGCCTCACCGGCTCCACGTGCGATGACAGCGTGCTGGTGAAGGAGGTGTGCAGCGTGGTCGCCCGCCGTGCCGCTCAGCTCTCTGGCGCTGGTTTAGCCGCTGTTGTCGACAAGATACGGCAGAATCGCAACTTGAATCAACTCTCCATCACCGTGGGAGTGGATGGCACGCTTTATAAAACGCATCCTCAGTAAGAAGCAGTTATCTCCTAAAACAGCATTTTATTCAGTTCGTAAGAATCAGACAAGCCTGCACTATTAAGCCCTGAGTGGTTGGGATACAGAGCTACACTGCACACTTTTATATTCACAAATTTATTATATTTTTTTCTGAATTGTAGATTTTTGGATAAACTATTCATGATTTGTACAAAGAGCTGCAGAAATGTATCTTTTTAGTCCTTTGAGGACTTGAAAGAAAAGACCATCTGGGTGTATTACATTTAAGACAACGTAGTCATCAGCTGCAAAAATACTCTTATTTGCATAGTAGAGGAAGAGAGTTTCTTGCAGCTTTTTGACACTTATTTCTCCTCTCTCTCTCTTTCCTTTGCTTATTAAGTTTCTCTGCCATTATGCAAGAAACACTGCGGGATTTGGCGCCACAGTGTGAGGTGACGTTCCTGAAGTCGGAGGATGGAAGTGGAAAGGGAGCAGCACTGATCACCGCAGTGGCCTGCAGGGTCAAAAATGAAGGACAGCAGTAAATCCCAAAGGCTGCTGTGATGTCATGAATAGTTATATATATATATTTTTAATGTTTTTTTTCCATCCCCAGTGTAAAGGTGTGTAAGAATGTGTTTTAAGATTTGTGTTTGTAATCTTTGTAGCTGATATTGAGAAGGGGGGAGTCTTTAAATGAAGTTCAGACAGCGCGTTACAAGAATTGCACCTCCTGTGAAATGTGACTGTTACAAGCTGATGGGCTTGTTTTGTATACACTCCATCTTTGTCTTTAATATTGAATATCCCAGGCTGCCTTCCAGCTCGTGTGTATAAGTTTATACACTGATTGAAAAAAGAAATGTTGGAAAAACTTGTTTAGGCAGCACGTGTCACAAAGTGCCTCCGTCACAAAAACATTTCCATTGCCTTTATTTGGAAAATTGCTGAACACGTGGGAGATTAAACTGTAACTCCTGTGTTATGAAACCAAAAATGAAATGCCGGTTGTTGTACTGAATTTACCAATATTTAAACACAGCGTTTATATAAGTGAACTGTTCTGTTCTGCTGGACATGCTGAAAACCAAATCTTATTCATTCTGTATTTTTATTCATACTGTGTTTGTATTTGTAGTGCTAGCAGAGGGCTAATGATTACCATTAGGTTATTCTGATGCTGTAGGAAAAGTACCAACATTAAATATTCTCACTGCACCCATCCCCAGGGACTCTTACCAAACAATAGAGGTCAGAAAATAAAGGAGAAAAGACAAAAAGTTGAAATCCAGCACTGGTGGGAAAATGTTTTTAATTTATTTTTCTTTTTTATTTGTATTAACTTTATTTGCATGTTTAAATATTTCATTTTGCTACCAAAAAGGTTAAAAAGTCATGTTTCTGAAAATGCCCGTCAAGCCGAAACTCAGCAAAAAAGAATCTTTTTTTAAAAAAAAATCAGAATTCCCAACATTCAGCAGCAACATCACTAAAATCAAGCTTTAGTGAATTTTTAGAACCACAGCACTTTGCTTTTTCATTCATAATCTGTCTGCTAAGATTGTCTGGCAGATCATAATTCATCCTGCGGTTTTACTGCCATTAAAGACCGTCACATTACAATTGATGTATTCGTTTGCTCTTTCTTTTATTCAGATGGGTACTAAAATAGATCCATTTGGGAGCAACTTTCAAGCAAACAGATACTGTAGTCGCAGTGAGGGTGCAGGTGAATCACAGCATGGCTCATGCAGGCTTCATGGTTTTAAGCTTAGCCACGTGCACGTGTAATGTGCCTGTGGATGAGTTCAGGAAACAATCAGTACACAATTGTGCATTTACACTCTCATTTCTTCCTCCATTGTCCTTTATTCCATTATTCTTGTTACGCAGCCTCCATGTTGCGTCCTTTTCAAACTCAAAGGTCAACAATAGGATATACATATACACAGTTTAGTGTTCGTGAAAGAGGAGATCACAAGATCCCTCTAAACCTTAAAGAATGTGTCTGTCACCAAATACATTTGCTTATATCCATGGAGATGTGAGCAGGCTTCATCTGATAACCTCAGAGGTGAGTATGCTCCTTCAGCCCACAGCAGATGTGCATTTGCCTAATATGCAGTCTAATTAGTGTTACTGCATTCAGTTTAACCGAACACCTTAATCACTATAAGCAGACCTTTATAATGAGCCTTCAGTCCTTTGAATGGCACATGCCAGGGTTGGACGGCTAATGAACTGGACATCACATATGTTAGTCATACGCTTGTATAAATGTTGGCTATATACAGTCTGCTGTTATTAATATAACTCCAGGTTCACCTAATGCTGCAGTCCTGTGTCTGTATTTAAAAAGAAAAAGGATCTCAAAATGCTTTTAAAATGGTCTCTCCAAGGTGTATGGCTTCTCTGGGAGATACCCTTCGTGTGACATCATAAAGATGTAAGCTTAGCACTGAGTGTTCAGAACAGTTTGAAGCCTGAGCTTTAAGCTCACATGGATTACTTTTACATATGCTGACCCGATTATTTAAAACTTTGGTCACTTTAATATGAGTATCTATCCCTGTAGCAATAAATGTATGATAAAAATAAGGTGGTCCTAGCCTGTTTGGTGCCCCGGGCGAACACTCCCCCCCACACACACACACACACATATAAAGAGAGAGAGTATGCATTCAATGCAAACAGCTACCAAACAGCCATCATAATTTGTCATACAATGAGAACAGGAAGAATCAACAATTGACAATGACATTAACATTAAAATCTGTAACATAATGTATTGTTTGGAGTTCAGTCTGTTACTGTTACTATTTTTACCATTTCTTTTTGGAGCAACTGTAACCCACATTATTTCCTTAGGGATTAATAAAGTATTCTGATTCTGATTGTTTCAGGATGACCTGCCATTGTCCAATGACACATCTGCTTACCTGCATCTTTTGCTCGTTTCTCCTCCTCTTCTTTTCTATTTTTTCTAAACTGAGGACCTGATGGCTTTGAACTTTAATTGTCCATCTTACATTGGTTTTAATTTTGCACTCCAGTATGAATACAAATCCCCCAATTCGAGGATCGCCACAACATAACCTAATAAACTTACCTTTATGGTGCGATCGTGGCTCAAGAGTTAGGAGTTCGCCTTGTAATCGGAAGGTTGCCGATTCGAGCCCCGGCTCGGACAGTCTCGGTCGTTGTGTCCTTGGGCAAGACACTTCACCCATTGCCTACTGGTGGTGGTCAGAGGGCCCGGTGGCGCCAGTGTCCGGCAGCCTCGCCTCTGTCAGTGCGCCCCAGGGTGGCTGTGGCTACAATGTAGCTTGCCATCACCAGTGTGTGAATGTGTGTGTGTGAATGGGTGGATGACTGGATATGTAAAGCGCTTTGGGGTCCTTAGGGACTAGTAAAAGCGCTATATAAATACAGGCCATTTACCATTTACCTTAGTTCACAGATTCACTTTGTCTAGGGTGCATTTCTGAGATTTCACACAACCCAGGATTCAAATCATGAATACATAATGGGCTTGGATTTACATCATTATGAATGAAATGCGCTCTATTTGGAAGCAGCAGGGCTCTCCTCCCCTTTCGACGGGTTGTGTGTGAGACTTTAAATAATCAAACTGTAAATTATAAATTTTCAATTGTTATTGATCCCTTTACCCCGAGTCCTAAAGTGTATATTTATTTTCTTACTCTTCTTATATATATTGTTTGTTTACTTGCACTGCTGTAACTGGAGCCTCGCCGTATCGTCTCTCTATATTCTGGACTGTAGCGGAGATGACAATAAAGTTTTACTTTGACTTCAGCAGCAAGCAGGCGCACCGAGGGCTCTCGCGCTCACTTTTCACGTATAGAATTTCGAAAAAACATCGGCGCAAATTACAAGTCTGTATCATAATGTCTGGTGTTTTCGTGTTTGTTAGTTTGTCTTTATTTTGTTTTATTTTGCGAGCTGGTTATTAGATGCTGCTCCAGCCAGCCAGAGAATCCCCTCGCCGCCCCGCCCTCTCCTCCCTGTGCCGCAAGCAGCAGGCGCACCTCGCAAACGGAGGGCGCCCTTACTCCCAGCAAATGGGCGATAGAAAACCGATCGGTGACAATGCCATTCCCAATATGCGCTGGCTGATGTCGAGGCAGCATGAGTGCGAGCAATTTTTTATTTTTATTTTTTATTTTGCCGTGATGCCGCCCCCCACCACGATGCCGCCCCGGGCAACCGCTACTGCCTGTGGGTAGGCTGGTATAGTCCTGTTGCGATTGCAGCAACATGCCATGATGAATATTTCACAATATGTGCACACTACATGCACACAGAGAAAGACTTACCATCTTAATGTACAGTAGTTCAGGTGCATTCATGGAGGACTGCGGTCCCTACATGAAATGAAACATGCAATCATTTATTAATATTATGTTTTATCACAGTAGGGGAGACCGGGGATAGTTGTAACATTTTTGACATTTCTGTCTGTAAATTGGAGCTCTTTTAAGATAGTGGATTCAAAATGTAATGCAAAGTATTTACATGTCTCTGCTATTAAATAGTGCAGCTATTTTCTCTGCAGCACAATTACCCATTGCATGGTATGGCCTCAAACACAAAGAGTGAAATGTTACAATTAACCCCATAGTCTGGGTTAGTTGTAACATATCCTGGGGTAAAATGTAACACAATGAAATAAGGGTACTAACAAAACATTAACATGTAATCTTTGTTTATTCAACACATGAATGCACTTAGAGCCATTTATGTAGCTGTGTGTTTGTGTGACAGAATGCAGAAATCTAACTTTTGATTCCAACCCCCCAAAAAAGACAAATTATGGAATTTTCTGCAACTGAATATTTCATTAATTTTGGTTGGTCTTCTTTGCGTTTGGCCTCATTGGCTCAGTGGGCATTATAACCTAAGACTCTTGCACCAATTTTGAACATAACAATGAAGCTGAAAAAATGTAGTTGTTCACCAGCATCGCAATTCCATTACTTTTTATCATGGCTTACCTTGGTGTGGTTTGCAAAGTGCTTCAGAAAGATGAGGAAATCTGTTTCTTGCACCCATCCTGATTTATTTCCACTACCAATACTTCCTACTGGTCCATCTCTGACACAGTGGTCTCCATAATGTATGTGTGGGAACACAAACAGAATTGTGTTGCCAATGGCATTAACCGCATATACAAATGCGACCAGTGAACCTCTCTCTGCTGATGTCGTTGCCCCAACTTGTTTAATATAAGTTAAAGTAATAGTGTGGTAAGTTGTAACATCTGCATTATTGTTACAACTAACCCAGACTGTCGCTGTTACAACTGACCCAGACTCCTATAGCCATGAACTAGCTAACATTACAGCCAACGGCTAAAACATTAGCACTAAAGACCTGCACAGAATATATCTCCATAGACATACAAATAACATAATTTAAGTTTGATGAGTTTAACTGCAAAGCAGATAATGCTATTAGAAATTGAAATAAAGTAGAAAAACTTACTTTTTGGCATACAAATTACTTTTTTTCGTGTTAAATTGTTTGTGTTTGACAAAATGTGCTGATTTTTCACATGTGATAGCACAACTGAGTTGGGCATGCACAGGATTAATCACATCATTTGAAACTTAGCCCTGATTGGAGAAATTGGAAGTGTTACAACTGACCCACGTTACAACTATCCCCGGTCTCCCCTAATCATGAAATCAATGAAAGAATTTTTTTTCTTTCATAATTCTGGGAACCTTTTTATTAAATAAAGTGTTTATTGCCTAATCAAGTAGATGCAACAGTTACATTAATTGCATCGATTTCCTTAATCAAGCAATATTTACTCATGTAACACTTTTCATATGAGTCAACAAGTGCTTTACAGAGTAAGGGGCATATTTGGTGCTTTTTTTTTTTTTTTTTCGCCTGTCCCATTTGGTTCTTTAGCCATCAGAATTGTTGTCTGAAGACCAACAAGGATACCCAATGGATTTACTTTGCCAAATGGATCATCGTGGCATTGCCGTATTGGTCCATTTGGTCGATCTTTGGTTTTATTATTTATTATATTTTATTTTCAGATGTTACAGACAGGACAGACATGAGTGAGAGATAGGAAAGGGAGAAAGAAAGAGGAAGGAAAGGAAAAACAGAAGGGGAGAGGGACAGTGAGAAAGGGGGGGAGAAAAAAAATAAAAATCTCCTGGATCACCTGTTGAGAGAAGAATAGAAAACAAGCAAAAAAAGACAAAAAAACAAAAAACAAAGCAACATACTAAACACAACACCATCGCATTAATCTAGCTAAGTGTAAACAGCAGTAAATACTAAATATTCAATGTTGTTGTGCAGCACGCAGGACAGATGTGCTTCGAAGTAGCAGCCAAGAAAGGTGTAATTTGGGTCTACGAGCAGTGAACACCCGTGTGCATACCTGTGTGGATCAGCGCGCTTGTATTCCAAAGGTTTCTCCATGTAACGATCTGCTAGGGAGTGTGGGGGGGCCACAGCCCCGTCCTCCAGGGTGTGAAGCAGGTATGGAGGAGATCAAAACTCCAGACATCCAGAGGCCCCCAGAACACAAGAAACCATGGAAGACCAACAGAGGGGCAGCCACGCCACTGTCCCAGA